TAGCACACACACACACACACACACAGTAACACCCACACATGAAGTCACACGTACAGACACAAACACTGGATTGTGTGAGGGCTCAGCACAGCAGCACATACTTATAGGAATACACTAATGCACACACACACACACACACACACACACACACACACACACGGCACCACAAGCATGTGGCTACCACAAAGGCCCCTGTCACATGTTGAGCAGATACATACCAACACAGTGATGTCAGTTTGTTCATCTCAACCTCAGACTGCTGATCTATTCATCAGAAACTCAGAAGCTGTGCAGCTGAAGGCCGCAGTGAACACAGTCGAGTCTCTCATGGTCTGTAAACTTCTGTATCTCAAACAGCAAAAACTAATTTGTCCTCTGGATCCTCTGGTGACATCAGAGTGTGAATTAACACCAAACACACCTGGGTCATTCCAAAATATCCTTTATAGAATATATTTTATATAGTTTGTACAGAAACAGAAAAAGATTTGTGAGTAAAAATCCTTGTAACAGAAGAAGAGCGTCTTATTGTCACTGACTGAGATGATGTAGATTTGCACTCTTTGGACTATTGATGTGGCCACAGGCGGAAAATCTTCTCAGCACACAGATAATAACTTATTAAAACTGCAGGACATTTAAAACTTTAACTGAAACAACAAACCAACTACTCACCAAAAACCACTAATCCTGTTGTATTTATTTCACCAACTCGAACCAACGAGCCACTGAAAGACACATACCTGAAGAGTTTGCAGAAATCCTGTTAAACCAGATCTCAGGAGGTTCTTCAGACTTTCAAATATGGAAACTGTCTCACACTAGAGTTGCCTTGGAAAATACAATTAGTCATTATACTGTACTGTCGTGTGATTGACAATTTTACTATTATATTATAGATATTAACTAATAAACTACATTTGCATCCCCTGTTTCACTCAAGATGGATATTTATCTTTTTATGGTTGCACCTAAAAATCATATCTTTCCCTGAAGATAACAGCTGACCCTGAGGTGTTTGTGCCGACTGTTCTGAGGTCATAATATTATTACCACACAGACACTTATAACAATTGTTGCAGACAAAAGGATATAAAAACAAGCAGATGTTTGCAGGACTGTAAATTCAATAAGATTAGGTTAACAAGCTGAAAACAGACAAATGTTACACTTGGTTGGAAATTAATTTGCTGTTTCCCACCAAGGAAGTTTACTGAAGCATCTTGCCAACTGAAGACTACGCGTGCACCAGAAGTCTCATGACTCACCTTCACAGTCCACAAACAGACTTGGTATTACTTTGGCAGCATTTTATGTTTTATTAACTGAACTGGCTTACAGGTGATTACGTTTCATCCCATATAGGAGGATTTTATTTAACTTTTAAAGTTGTTTCAGCTAATAGAAGTAATGAAAGCAGAGGAACATTTTACTTTCTCCACTGGTAAAGGCTCAGTCCATATTTTTGATTATGCATAATTACATGCATTATCAAAAATAGTCATTTGACTGCTGCATAATCCAGTACATGGACTAGTTTGCAGTTCTAAATCTTGCTTGTTAAATAACTTAGAAATATTAGCTGGTTCCGATTTTGTGTTTTTGTTTCATTTTGTGCAGTTTTCTTTCTATATACATTTAGATTATATCTTGTGCTACAACTATGATATAAATATATAACTCAGTAAAATGCTGTTAATATAACTTGTGTCTGTCAGTTCAAACCACGTGGGTTAAAAATGTAACTGATTAGGGTCACATGGCTTTAACCATGAGATGATTTGATTAATCCGTTCCCTTCAAACAATGATATCCTCGGTTTTAGTCGTTCAGATTCATAAATATTTCATTGTTCATTTCAGATTGGATATAGGTTTCATGTAATGACATTTAAAAATACTAATCAGGTTATTTGACACAACGGCTGACATTAGATGTCATGCCCAATGACATCCACATCCTACTGATATAATACAATGATGGTTGAGTATGTGGTGTTTTATCTGCTCCAGCACACACAGTTCCTACTAGTCTAATAATCAGGGTGATAACACAGCTTCAGTATTGTGTAGATACTGTGCAGCATAACAACAACACCAAATGTATTTTAGTGAACCTATGAGCTGATGTTGCCACAGGTGGATGCTGCAGTTTCACAGGACTTTTGGAAAGTCAGACTGGAAGTTAAGTTTTAATTGGATTTGCCGCTTTTCGGCTCGACTGTCTCCTGACTTAATGAGACGAAGACATAGAGGGAATTAGAGGCAGGAATTCACATTCAAAAATGTTTGGCATTTAACAGACACTCTTATCTGGTGCAGCTTACAACAAGCAACTCACAGAGACAGACAGACTCTCAGACAGCGTGGGCGCTGAGGAGAGAAAACTATCACAAAGCTGTTTTCTGTTTGACGTAGACGATGATCATAAACTGAGCTGTTGTTAAATGTTTAATTGTTTTTGAGCAAAGAAGGTCTTTAACAGTATTTGTCAGTAAATTAAACCCCCTATATTTAATCCTTAACCCCCATGTTTTTGCAGTATTATGACACATATGAAGCAGAGATTCCCCAGAAAACGAGACAGACAAAGCAGAGAGACATAAAACCTTCTTTTGAATGGAGACAGATTCAGAGTCCAGTCATCACACACGGCGCCCCCAGAAACAGCACTGCTGCTGACAGGCCGTCAATCTCCAAATCCCAGCCCAAGTCATCCTCTAAGAGGATCAGGTCTTCTATATATACACTCACCGCAGGTAGCTTCCCTGAACAGGGAGCTAAGCAGATTACTGATAAAAGATACAGTGAGCCCACAACTTGTCAGTGCTTCAGGGAACTCTGGGGAAACACCAGGAGGGAAATAGTGCAGGAAATCACTGCACCACGTTCTACAAATTCAGCAGTATCAGACTTATTGTTAACAAATTTCCCCCTCTGGTATCAATAAAGTATTTCTGATTCTGATTGTCATACCATCTTCTAAATATTATAAACATCTGTGATACTGTCATTGTTTTGTTAGAGAATGTTACAATTTGTCCGCTTTGTTTTTCCCCCAGAGAAACTGGAGATTGAAATTCAAACTGAAGAATTGTTTTAAAGGTGTTGTTTGGCTATTGTATTCCTTTATTAGACAGAGGACTGTAGGGAGGAGACAGGAAATGAGGGGAGACACAGAAGAGGAAGGACATGTAACAAAGGTCCCACTTGCTGTATTTGTTTTAAAATCTAAAAGAATCCAACAGATTTCATTATGAAAACTAAATGGGGGGGGGGTTTATAATGATATGTATTAATGATTAACTTTAGAATGACACAGCGCATTCCCTTTATTGGGCAATTTTAACTAAAACTGTATTGTAATTGTATTGTATAATCCCATGGTGACGCATTTAGGCATGTTGTAAAGTGAGCAATTAACTTGAGCTGTGTTAGTGTCATTAATGATTCAGAATGACTTATTAAAGTAAGTTTTAGACTTTAGACTCAACAAAGACAACTAAAACTACAGTAGCTGAATACAGTGTATGTATATATGATGTATATCTGAGTGTTTGTGCTATATAGTTTATTCTAATTCATTTTAATAGCCCTTAAAAAATAGTTAAAGAGCTCCAAATAAACCAATACATCAGAATATGAAGACAAATCAGCTCAAAGTTACAATTAAAACATGTTAAAGTCGACTTTTCAACTGTTTTATATGTGACAGCTGTTATATTTGTGTGCCCAATTTAAAGCATTTGGCTCTTCAAACATTGTCACACACACAGCACAGTGTTGCTCACGTCATGTAACACACAGAACAGGCAGTTGGACAGGATAGGAATCCACTCAATCATAAATATCTCTAAACTTTGCAGATATCTGTCGTGTGTCTGTGTGTGTGTGTGTGTGGTGGGAGAACCACTGTGGGAAAGAGAATGATTCATGCAGCAGGTACAGAATGTGGTAAGATACCTGCCCACTCTGCTGTGACCTCAGTTTTTATCACACATTAGCTGTTCTGACTTGCAGGTGTCACTGATTTTCTAGTTTGATAGGTACGCCCTCGTCTTCACTACGTCATAATGAACATCACTTTATTGTTCAGACCCAAGGGCATTCCCAGCAGTCAGAGAGACAGTTTTAAAAAAGAAACAGGATTTCAACAATGGAAAAATAAATAACAAATAATAATTCTAATACACATAACAATGCACATGTTGCGACAGAATACTTCCAGGATCATGTCCTCTCCAACATCTGCAACATCTGCAACCCCGTTAAGCATCTTTAGATCTTTGATTCGTAAAGCAAAAGTGCAGAACACAATCTTCTTCATGTACAATAGTCATGCTCAGAACATCTATGATGAACAACGGCTGCTCTGAAGGTCAAAAGAGGCACAATATGCAGCTCGATGGTTGAGTACCCAATCAGTGTGTGTGTGTGTGTGTGTGTGTGTGTGTCTGTGTTTGATAGTGTGTGTGATAGGAAACATTTAAGGTACTGGATGAATAGTTGGTCTTCCTGGAGCCAGTGTTGCAGGATGGGAGGGGAGCAGGAGGTGAGTCACTAGAGGATCGTAGTTAACCAGGAAACAGGCTGTGTGCTGCTGGGGTGCCGATCCAGATCCACAGAGGCCGAGCCGAGAGCCGCTTCAATCACTGGAGCTCTAAAGATAGTAAGGAACAATATCTGAAACGCTGACAGCAACACGCCTGCCTGTGAGAAATGAAGGAAGGATAGATTGTTGGCAACTTTTAAAAGGATTCATGATTTAACTCGAGTACCACACAGGCAGGACGACAGAACAACAGAACAAGGCAAAGAAAATTAAAATAGTCACAGGAAAAGAAAGGTCCATTCACTGACCACAGCCTCAACCCGCCTGAGGAACCCTGAGTAACTAAACCCCACCCGTCTGGTTGTCAAAGTAGCTTAAAATAAGCATTAGTGCTTCTCTGCAAGACGTTTGTTCAAAAAATACAGGAATCACAATCCCACACAGTCCCATTCAAACAAAAGCTTTTTATTTTAGTTTGCTATGACGACAGAAATAGTAGCTTTTACAACTTAAGCTGCTTCTGCTGTCAACATCAGCATACGACTGTAACAATAACAAGATTAGAAGTTTATAGCCTCACTAGTGTCAATGTGAGGCTGTGATACTTGTTACACAGCAGATATAAAAATTCTTGTGTGGATAAAAGACTCTTCTTAGTTCCTGACTGCAAGTAGGGCAAAAATGTGATGTTTGGTCTGAGGATGACGCCTGAGGACAGGTCTTCATTATATATATTCATTTTGATTTAGCTTACAACAATCGTGACAGTTAGAAAATGAATCAACTGAGGTAATAAAAATACAGAAAACTAAGTTTTAACTGGTTGATCATGTATCAACTTTATTTAAATACTTTTGACAACCTCACCTACAGTGTACAGTTAGAAAACTCCACTCCTCCAAAGACAGGGTACTGGTCAAATTTACATAGCAAGAGGAAAAACTAACTTATAAAACAACAAAGCCATAAAGGAAATAACAAATCAACAATAACTCTCACACTTGCTATAGCTGAAACTCAGCCTCCCAAACAGGCTTTTTTTTTTTTAATGACCTGGCAGGAGGGAGCCATAGTGAATTTTTGTTAGTTTGAATCTTCATACACGAAACCAAATAAAAAAATATGTCTTTCTCCTCTCTTCACACTGTCACAGGCTGCCTACACATCCCACTGAGGTGAGCGGTAATCACATATTTCCTGACATATAAAATGATTCAGTTCAAAAATGTCAAGTGAGGAAGTATATTTACCTCAAGTATAAAAAAATAAATTAAAATGATCAACATTTATACACAAGACGGTCAACAATCTTGACAGCTGTTGTACAATCTTAACCTTCTGGAACTCAAAAGACTTCTTTAAGCTCCACTACTTTTCAGGCAAAAACGGGAACAACTCGCTTATCCTCACCCTGATTCAGATGCTGCACTGACTTTAACTGTTTATTGTAAGGGATAGAAACTAGGAAGGGGGGGGGGTGTTGTAGAGGAAATATCTAAACATTTTAAACTGTGAATCCCTCTCAAATCAACTTTTCCACCATGAAGTGTGCACTTTTTTTTTTTGCTGCAAGCCTGAGAGAGAAAACCACGTTCAGTCTGTACTGATTATTTTTGTTTTGTTTGTTTTTTAAACACAGATCATGTTAAGATCTGAAATTTGGATGCCATGGTCTTCTTTATGCAGAGCTCAGGCTGACAGTAGAGGGAGCACCCGCACAGATCAATGCAAGATTCATGCATTCATTAAATTTTTAGGTCCAAGTCTAGTTTATGATTGTCACACGGTCACCAGCCACTAACGCCAAAACGCTGCCGTAAAGGCGGCAAATTATTCCATTTCACCAACCACTCGCAGAAATCTGCAGTCCTGTCTTGTAAGTTCTCTTTTCATTCTTAACTCAACATTTAATAAAACAAAACAACTAAAAGCTAAAAGGCTAGATGGTGAGTTCTGAGTCAGTGAATCAAAGTGTTTTATTCTGATCAAGGTGGAAAAAGGTAAGAAGGTAAATGTTAACCAACAAAGGCTGACTTTGAAATCATCAAACGTTGAGATCACCTTTTCAGCAGAGAAAAAAACCAAACTTTTTTTAATGTTCCCTATTGATGCTGCAGCTAAAATGTGCCAGAGAGGGATGTGTTTGTACATCAGTCCGACCAGCGAGGTCTATTTTCTCTTCTACCTTAAAGCTACAGAAGCTGTCATTTGTGAACTTGAGGCTCTCCATCTTCACAAACCGAAACAAACAACAAAATGTTTACGTGAAAACTGTAAGTAAATGAGGGTTGGGGGGGAGAGGAACAACAGTGGCGTAGTGGTTAGAGAGGCAGTACTGAAAGGTCACAGGTCCCTTCCTGTACCAGCAAAGTTACCTGTTTTGGGTAAGAGCTAAATACCTGAAATTAAACAGTATATGAACAGCTGGAGGAGCTACAGACATTAAAAACATTAATACAGCCCTCAGAGGACACAAACTGACAGTGCAAAGAAGTAGAAAAATAAATACTAAAAAAAAAAAAAAAGCAGAATATAGATTTAAGTTTAAGTATTTGCAACTGTTCCTGCAGAAACTGTGACATAGTGAGTGATAATGACAAAATGTATGCTATTGTTCAACATAACTGAACAGCTTGCATGGGGGGGTTGAAGATGACAGTAAATGCAAAAGGCAGTGATATAGAGGATGATCTGTTTCTGATGGGCAACAATGTTAAAGAAGTTGCCTCAGTGCCGTTCACTTATTCACAAAAAACACCACAAATAAGCAATTTCTTGTCGGGAAAAAAGTGACATGTATCATTTCATCTGTTGCCAGGAGCATAGTCGACTATGACTGCCCCAAAAATACAGAGAAAGCACATAAAACAGTTTAAAGATGAGGAGAAAATGTACAAAAGAATTGAGCAGAGGAACTGAAATGAATGAGGATAATGAAATAAGATGTGAAGCTAAAATGTTCATTCCATATAAATGTTTTTTTGCTGCTGTCAGAATAACTGTTTTCGTTAAGCATTGAGATGAAGAGAATACATTTATTTATACATCAATAAGTCTGTTTAAAATAGAGCTTTAGAGATTTAACTTTAAACCCTTCCCATAACCCAAAGTCTTTTATAGAATCTGAATCTGCAGCACTCTGTGTGTGTGTGTGTGTGTGTGTGTACATGAAACACATTGTGAGACATCAGTTTGTCACAAAAGTTTGTCTTCTTAAACAGTCTTACAGGCAGTTGCCTCAGTGCGCTTCTTTCTCATTTTCACTCATCTGTTCAGTGTCCAAAAATGTTAAAACAAGCCAACGGTCCCACCCTGTTAATGGTGGTGGAGGGGGGTCACTGGCAGAAGGGGGAGGCTGTCGGGTCAAAGCCTTTGAAAACCTCCTTCAGCGAGCCGTTGTCCTCCGTGGTCGCCTGTTCCGACTGCACCGGGCTGCTGCCTCCAAAGGGACTACTTGTCCCACCGGGCTTGGCCGCCTGCTTCACCACGCCGAACAGAGTGGACACCGGTAGGTTGTGGACACCAGCCGGTCCCTGATCCGCAGCAGCTCCAGGAGCTCCCTGACCCCCGGCTGCAGCTGACCCGGCTGCAGCGGGCCCTCCCTGAGCTGTGGAGTTCGGTGAGGGTGCAGGTTTGGGCCGAGGCCTGTTATAGCTGTTGTATCTATCGGTCCCTTGCTCAACACTTTTCTCTGGCTCTGGTTGGTCCAACGCAGACTTACGAACAAACAGGGGTTCCTTGGACTTGGGTTTAGCCGTCGTGGGTGCCGCTTCACTGGGTTTAGACTCTGTGCTGGCTGAGTTGGGGGAATTGTTAGAGCCGCTGCTGGTACCAGGGCTGGCTGGTTTGTTAGTCCGAGGGTCATATAGACTGATGCTGCTCAGCACACTGGCTCCCCCTGGTGCCACAGCTCCCACACCGCGCCCTGCTCCACCTGAGGAGAGCAGCCTTGGGTCATAGGGGGCAATGGTAGTGGGGGAGGAGCTAGATGTTGTTGCTGGAGAGGTAGAGGCGACAGGAGGAGGAGTGGGATCTGAAGGTTGCTTCAGTGCTGACTTTTGAGGTTGAAGACGGGGGTCTGTAGGGACTTTACGGGCCACACGGGGGTCAACAGGCTTTTCTACAGGTGCGGGAGGCACCGGGGGAGGTGGACCCAGCAGCGACACAGGGGGAATAGGAGTAGGTAAGAGAGGAGGGGAGGGAGTCTGGGACGGGCTGGAGTTGACAGTCTTCAGTATACGAGAAAGCAGCTCAAAGTCTGGGAGGGAAGAAGTGGAAGAAGAGGGAGCCGGGGGGTCCATGGAGGGAGGAGGCTGTACGGGGGGAGGCTGTGAGTGAGGGAGCGGTGTGTGGAGGGGCGGCTGAGTGCGGGACAGGCGCGGGTCTATGGAGGATACAGGAGGGATGCCTGGTGGGAGAGGAAGGAGGTCCTGCTTGGGGATAGGGAGAGGGAGTAGATCTTCAGGCGACCAGGTGATGGTTTTGGAGAAGGCCGGCATGTGGAGGAGAATATCCTTCTTAATGTGGCTGAACTGTTGCAGCTGTGAGCGTGGATCTCTCAGAGCCATACCCATGAGCGGGTCCAGGGGAATTGGTACCGGCTTGTCCCGTAGAACTCGCTCTGTCTCCTCCTCGTCCGCTGCCGGGGTTGTAAGCGGCGGCGGCTTGTAGACCAGAGGAGGCTCTGCTTTAGGAGCAGGAGGCGAGAGGGAGCTGGATCCAGCTGAGGCAGCAGCCGTTAGCCGGGCTAACCTGGGGTCTGCAGGCGGTCCAGAAGATGGGGGCATGGAGTGGGTGGAGTCGGCCGAGTCTGAAGCACGTGCCAGGCGTGGGTCCCGAGCCAAGCGGGGGTCTGCTGGCCGAGCCGGAGTGTTGGCAGGAGGGGCCTTCAGGAGGCGAGGGTCGATCGGGGGACCGTCAGATTTTTGAGGGGCCTGGGTCTGCTGACGGAGTGTCTTCAAGATCGAGGTCACACTACCACCGCCATCCTCATCCTCACTGGAGTACCAGTTCCCTGAGTCACCTAGGGAAGAAGGACAGACAAAACCTAATTAGATAAACTTTACACACACATTTGATTAACCTTGAAGAAATGCATCATATTTAAGGATTTTATTATTTAGTAACACTTTCCTGAAGACTACCTACTAAATATAGTGTTTTAACCATGAAGGAGGAGACATATGAAAAGGGGAATTTTTAAGATAAATGACAAAAAGATTATACAAAGAAGGACTACAGCTAGCCTTTACAAAAGAATGACTAATAGTTGATGATGCTTTTCCTCTACCTTCAGTGTCTCTACTCTTCTCTGCTCCTCCCTCGGCCATCCTGCGAGCTCTTTCCTCTTCTTCCTGCTGCTTCTGTTGGATCCTCATGAACAGGACACGCTGCGCCGGAGGCAGGAAGTCAGGCACAGAAATCCCTCCCTGATTGGCCGACGCTCCATTAGCAGAGCCTTCTTGGCCACCTGACGGACCAAATTTCCCTGCCCCTCCTCTCTCGTCCATGCCAGAAAAACCCTGGTAATTGTCACCTGAGAGGGAACAGCGAGGGCAAACATCAGTACAGAAACACGTAAAATAACGTAAAAAATACAACTCAGAACTTTTTCTTTTAGCTTTTAATTCAGTTTGATTACTGAAATTCACTCTCACCTTCTTCCATCACTCCTTCCATCTTCATTCCATCCTGCTGATTGAAGAAGTTATTAAAGAAGTTTCCTCCACCCTGAGGAGGACCTGGAGGCATCACACCTCCATGTGGGCCATCGCCAAATCCTCCCATCATGGGCGGTCCACCGGGACCCATGTTGGGGGGCCCCTGGTTCATCCCAAGGTTGGGTCCCATGTTCTGCATGTCAGGGGACATCATGCCTGGGGGGGGAGGGAAGCGAGGGGGAGGGCCACCAGGGGCCCCTTGGGGTCCAGGCGCTGCAGTCTGAACCTGGTTGCCAGTGGGGGTCTGGCTCCTGATAAGGGGAGGGACAGTAGGCGTTAGGATTCACAGAGTGGATCTCAAAGGGAGAAGTTAAGAGGAGTTAAAGAGTAACTTAACATGCATATTAATAAATTAAATGTCACTTTATTACGTATCCACTGATCATTTAATCCCATTTAATAGTTTGCACATTGCACATGATGCCTCGGGCTATTGCTGGTACAGACGTATAATCTGTACCTATAGGTAGATAAATACTCATGTAGGCTTTAGAACTACCTTTGTTTTAACAACAGCCATCTTTGGCAAAGGAGAAAGCCAAAAAAAATAATCAGAGGCAGCGTTTAAGCCTACATGTGGAGTCTCGTGGAGTATTATATTTGACTGTTGCACTCTTTGTCACTCTAGATAAAATCACAGTATACATTTTCTACAGAATATAAAAAGATTATCTTTTATTCTTAGTGTTTATTTTCTAATATCTTACCTGACGGCCAGTTTCTGGGCCAGCTGTCCTGTCGGCTGAACTTTAATCTCAAACAATGAGGGGATTTTCTTCCCCGCGCCACCTCCCCCTCCACCACAGGGAGGTGGGGGGCCCATGTGTGGAGGAGGGCAATTGGGATTTGGGGGCCCGCCTTGGAACGGACCTCCTTCTGGGCAATGGACAGGGGGGCCAGCATAGGGGTTAGGCCCAGGAACAGGCCCTGGTCCTGGGGGATCTTTGTTGGGAATGGGCCCCTGGTTAGGTCCAGGAAGACCCCCAAAGTCACCCGGCACAGGCCCGCCAAAATCCCCAGGCCCGGTGTTGGTGTCTATAGGAACAGGCCGAGGAGGGGTGGGGAGGAGGCCAACTCCAGGAGGGGGTTTGGGGAGAGGGTTGATCCCCTGCTTCTTCAGCTCCTCCACCTCCTTCTCATCCTCAGCTCCGGCCTCTGCATCCTCTGCCAGCATCTAGAAAACATAAAGATATCCACTGAGAAGTTTATCTGGAGAAGAATGTCCTCAAGGCATTTAGAAAATCAGTTCAGTCGTTTTATTATTCAGTTTGTCAGGCGCACAAACATAGAAAACAAAAAAAACCACAAAAATGATTCCTGTACATACAATATGCAGTAAACAACAACAACGACAACAACGACAACAACGACAACAACGACAACAACGCAAAAACAAATAATGTGCAAGATCCTAAAACATGCAAATTAGATGCAAATTTAGCAGGGATATTGCACAAGGCAATCAAACACTGTTTCTGTAGGTGAACTGTATAACTTAAAAAGCTGTATTTTACTATATTGTATATACTATATAAATCTCTCAATACACATAATCAATGTTTTTCAGACCTGTGAGAATTGGCTTAGAGGATCCTACCTTGTTGAGCAGCTCCTGGGTGTCATCATTGAGGGCTTCATGGGAGAACATGCATTCGTCGCCATTGACACAGTTCCCTGTGGTGTGGAACAACTTACAGGGAAATTCACGTAGAATGGGAGTCAAGGAGAAACACTGACAAAAAAACTGAAACTGACGCTGTTTCCTGGATGTCTTCATGTCTTCTTGCTGAGAGTAACACAAAACTATCACATTTTCAGTAAGGCAGATTTAGCATGATGTTACTGTTTAATTATCTCTATTCAGAAGTAATAATAAGGTACTCATCAATATACCCAGAATTCCCAACCCTAAAGAGTCTCTCTGTGTAGTAAATATTGAAGGATATCATGCATGTAAGGACAGTGGTCGGCTCGGGCGCAAAATCCAGTGATGTAGAACTTGCACAGCTCCTTCTTCTTGGGCAGCTCGATGTCGTGGCTGAAGTTGCAGTGGTCCCCCTAGTGATCAAAAAAGGCAATGATGAAATCTGTGTGCCTGAGGGCTCATGACTGACAGGTTTGAGAGGATAAAAGATGAACAAAATGTCAATTTTCTTCCGTCTTTCTTTGTTGTGTTTTGTTGCCTGTTATGAAATGCAGAATGGTGTCTCTGTGGCATTTTACTACAGTTTACTGGTGCCATCTTTGAAAATTATTTGATTTAACTATATATTAAACCATGATGGTTCATCAGGCCTTTTTGGAGGAATTTGTATCACATTTTAGTCATCAAATACATTTAAATTATGAAAAAAATGTCCTAAATATGTTTCTTTTGGGCATCAGTTGGAAAAGTATAAAAAGCATGAAAAAAATCATTTGAATGAACGGCCAGCGGACTTGTAGCATTAAAAATGTGACAGAAATTACAAAACTACAAAAATAATAGAACATTTGTGCTATCTTACCCAGGTGCATCTCCCCTCGATGTAGTACTTGCAGATGGCCTTTCCTTTCTTATCCTGATGCTTCTCATTCTGATTCCTCCTGCCAACTCCTGGTCCATCGCACCCTCCACCTCCGTCCTAAAATACATCCACACATACACAGAAGGAGAGAGCAGAGTGTCAGAAAGAAAGAAAGAAAAGATTCATATCATTTTATTCCTCGAGTCTAATAAATATAGAGGAACTTGTCCTGGGGGCACCAGAATTTGGTGAAGCACAATTTGCATTAACCTACTTTCTGTTACAGTATCAGGACACAGAATCACAAAAAGCCGTACCCCGTTGTCCATGTCTCCATTGTTGTCATCATCCATCCCCATGTCACCTCTTCCTCTCCCGCGGTTTCGACCCCTTCCTCCTCTGATCATACCACGCCCTCCTTTACCCCGCCCTCGTCCGCGGCCACCTTTACCTCCTGAAGCACAAGAACCAAGTGAGACTGAGTGAATTTACAATCTATCACAGCCTGTGCTTGTTTAAAAACAGCAACTGAATAAAACGTGTAGCTGTTTCTTTAAGAAAGATAAAGATGAAAAACACACAAACTCACCTCTGCCTCTGTCTTTGGACTTTTTGTACTGATTGAGTTCTTTTGAGTAGTCATCGTATTCATCATCCCCGATGTTGTCATAGTCGTCCTCTCCATACTGTAAGTAAGATTTCACCTGAGTGACTTCTTGAGGCTTACTTCCCTGAATTACATATGATGTGTAAATGGTTAAATATCTGAAGCAAGACTGACACACATTTCTGAGACACAACACTTCTGAGACACATTTCTGAGACACATTTCTGAGACAGAGTGTCCACAGAGAGTTGGCAAAGTCTGTTTAAACCCATAATTTGTATTTGTACTCTTTTGGTTTGGTTGTTTTGGGAAATGAGAACACAGAAGTAGTACTAGGTGAAGACAAGGACTTGTTTACAAGGATTATTAGCTTTTCAGATTATTATTCCATCAATAGTGAAATAAACACTCTTTCTAAGACCACCACCAGGTTTGATTTCTCAGTGCTGAACAGCAAAAGGGGGATAATCTGCAATCACAACAGATGTATGCATGTTTGTCTAACCCAGAAAAAAAACTAGTGTTCACATAAAAATGGCGGCTCCAAGGGTTTTTGTTCACTGGAATGTTTCCACATGAAATATATTGCAACAACTGTGCAAATACACAAAACACAGCAGGAGAATAACAACTTGTTTCCTGGACTTTGACCAAAACAAATGAAGATTAGCTCTCATTCTGAATTCTAAACCTCACCTCCATCTCATCTCCATAGCCGTCTCCATCGTCGTTGTCCCCTCCCATCTTTACTCCTCCACCTCGACCTCCACCTCCTCTTCCTCTGCTTCCACCTCTTCCCCTCCTCCCTCCCCTCATTCCTCCACGACCTCTCTGGTTCTTCATACGACCTCTACCCCCTGCACAAACACAAACACAAATGTAAACAATGAAATGAGTAAGCTACAGAGGCAGATAAGTTTCACATAAGATAGAATTTATCTGTGGAATTTGGATTGATAAGAAACAAATAAGCTCCTTTGTCTGTCAAATGAAACTGAGTAGCGAGTAAAACAGCGAGCACATGATGCTGAATCTGCTACCAAGCTGTTGTCACACGGTGGCACATTATTTAAAAAGCCTCCATAAAGGTCAGTGAAAACTTATTTTTAATAGTTTACACCTATAGCTTAGGGTCTCAGCAGGGCAAATATTTAGCATGCAGCAGAATATGTAACAAAACAAGTCTGCCGTTGACCCACCTCGTCCACCGCGCCCGCCTCCTCCCTCCTTGGCCTTGCGGTACTGGTTGAGCTCTTTAGTGAAGTCGTCATAGTCTTCTTCCACCATATCCTCCTCTTCCTCTCCCTCAAAGTTGTCTTCTTCATACTCATCGTAGCCTCCGTAGCTCTGCTTGTCCATCTTCATGTAGCTGCCTTTCTTTGAGCCCCCGTAGCCCCCGTGAGTCTAGAGAGGGTAAACATATTAGGTGATTTTTTACTTTCCACTAAAAATGATTATTGAACATTTTATTGCACGTTCTTGAGACTTACAGGAGGGGGGTACTGTGGACTGTACTCTCTGTACTTCCTCTTCTCACTGGGACTGTAGTCAGAGTCGTCACTGAATTCTGAGTGGTCGTCATCAGAGGATGCATGACGCTGAGAGTGAGTGAAACATAAGAGATATTTAGAAAACAAGTGGTAGAGATATTAAGGTAGAGTTAAGTTTAAGACATATGGACTTAGATAGGTCTATTACTGTTGTATAGCATTGTATATTCTTACTTTGTGTTTGGATTTGCGTTTCTTCTTGGCCCTCCTCTTCTCCCTTTCTCGCTCCTTCTCTTTCTTCCTCTTCCTCTTGCGACGGTGGGACCTCTCATCGTCCGAATTGCTGCTGGCATGGCGCTCCTTACTTCGCTGAGGCCTCTCCGCTGCCCCTTCCCCTCCTGCTTCACCTCCTCCGCCTGCTTCCTCGCCCCCATCTCTGGCTCCTACTGCTGCAGACGTACCTCCACCCACCTCCTCCTCCTCCAACTCTCCCCCATCATCTTCCAACTCGCCCTCCTCCAGCTCTCCCTCCTCCGGCCTGTATATGTAAAGAATGCACATGGAGTTACACCTCTCATCTTCTCATGGGCCATAGCTCGGTCTGCCAGCCACCTCCACTGTTTCAGGAGATACATTTATAATTTATAAATGTACAAGTTCACAGATAAACCCCCCAAAAAAAACAAGTACAGAGGTTTGGTACGGTTGACTTGATTCTGACAACATTCTGAAAGAATTTATGATTTACCCAGCACCCCTGCAAAAGTTGCATTTCTGTTATTTGTGTGAGCCAAACAGGTTGTTTTTTTTAGCAAGAATCAAGAAACATCTTAGCATTTAACAGCTGACCGAGACCCGGAGGCATAATGTGGGCTGAAAGACAGTTAAGTTGTAAATGTTTGCTTTTAACTGCTTTAGTAAAGAAAGAAAATTTAATTAGCTCAAGATTTGTGAGCTTGACCTCGAGTGCAATTCTTTGAACGTTATCCTTGTAGCACATATTCCTCTCTGTTAAGGAGATTTCTGCTACTAAATGGTACAACAAGGCTGTATTTTAAGAGACCACCTGATAAACTGTTGGACGCTGGTTTGAATGGTCATTTATGTCAGGGGGCATAAAACGGAAGATTGTATTTTCCTGTGTCCCTATGACTCTACCAGGTGTATTTACACACCTATTTCTCACTGATGTTTGCCTATTTAAGATACTTGTGAACACATTTTCACACACAAATGCCCCAACTTCATATTTGAATCCTCATAAAAAAAGGGTAGATTACGTTGAAAGAAATCACCTAAAATTAACCTCTCTATACCAATTGTCAATACTATTGTACCCCTGAACAGTAAAAACACTTACACACGTTTCTAACTGCCTTTAAATTTACTTTTTCTTGCTGCACAAGCGTCATATGTAATTTTTTGAAACCAGTGCTAGTGAGGTTTTGTAATGCACCCACACACATAAAGGTCAAACTCCCAAAAATACCAGAGGCCTGGGGGGTTCGCGTCCTAATTCTACAACTACCCTAATAGTATTTGAGGGGCATACAAGGAGTTACGAATGTGCCGTTACTGTGGTCAACTGCCAGGGCAGCAGGACCCTCTCATGGGGCAATTTGAGCAAAACCATGAGATCCTAATTGACATGGATCACATGCAGGCCTCTTCCTGCAGCAACTGGTGGCTGTGGGGGGGGGGGGGCACGGGGGCCAAACACAGTGAGGACAAGTGAAAGGGAGGGCGCATTAGTTTTAAAAAAAAGCTGAACAGGAAAAATGTCACATATCCAGTTTGTGAAAATCTTTTAAGCTGCAGACACGGATGTTCTTTAATTTACATGTAATGTATCTTCCTTCCCGACCTGAGACTACTGACCGTACAAGTTCTTTAAATAGTTTTTCCTGCCCCCCCCTTTTCTTTTTTAAACTGGCAAGAAAGTGCTATGATTTATGGCACAGGTTAGGACAGGGGACACATTTAAGTAACAGTGAAGAGACGTATTTAAAGAAATGTAGCATTTGACACTCCCTGTTTGAATAAAGATTACAATATCTAGAGTGCCAATGCTTCTGAATTCACACTAATAATTAGGGCCTGGCTCTCACATAAAGGCCCACACCCAAAGTAGGTTACTGTCTCCAGACTGCTGCAGACAGCAACCAGGCTGATGTGAACAGGTTTCTACTTATTCACACCCGACTTGCCAACTGCCTTACAATATTTGACTAGTGAAAGACTGGTTTTGTCCTACGAATAGCTTACAGACAAAGCAGGTGGTGAGTATAGTCGACCTGCTTTGAGGCAAAATGTCAGCTGCACTGCATGTGTACCCTGAACCCCACCACATCCTCAGCATACCAGCTTCCTCTGGGGAAAACACAATAACCAGCCTCAATAATCTCCGCTGTGTCACGAATAAAACGTTCATCTGCAGAGCAAAACAGCCCGATTCAGAAAGCCGCCTCCGCCTACCAAGGCTTCGATTAAATGCTTAGTTTATTTCATATGAATGAAAAAGAAAACACAACTTTGTACAATCATCAACCTGTCAGAGATTTCTGAGCCTGCAGCCACTACAGAGACAGGAACCATCACAACCCTGCACCAGAAGGCAAGTTCACAAAATTATCTAGATTGTTTGCCGAGTAAAGCCAGAAAATCTTCTTTTATCAGTCCTCGGTCCAGATACGAGGGAGTTCCTGAGAACTTTGAGTTGCTCCACAGAAAAAAACCTTGTAATCTGCCATGTGTTATAAAAACAGAAGCCTGAACAACAAAATCTGTCTTCATAAGTGCGCTTGTTTGATTTTGATTGGAACAAAAGCCAGAATAAAAATCCAAAACTTGCCGTGCTCTCCCTGAAAACAGTAGCTCCAAAAATATGAATATATAGATTATGCATGTTTTCAGCCAATATTGGCTCAGTACAAAAGGTTCAATGTCAAATACCAAACAAACTTATAGTGCATCTTTACACATCAAATACTTTGCTAAACTAACAGATTCTTTCTCCTGCAGAATCCAAACCACCACAACCTTCAGGAGGATCACCAAAACAACAAAGTCACTCCTCTACCCCACTACTGGCACAGTGCTACGAAGCTGGCCCTTTACTCAAAACCTGTCGGAGTCTGGCACACAGATCTGTCACAAGGAAAACTCTGCTGACACAATGGAGGGCTCTCGATCATGGCACAGGGATTTGGCAGTATTATGGAAGCAGGTTGCTGTGAAAAGGGTGCGGCTGGGATTCTCTATGGGCAGAAGCTGATGGCCTCTCTGGCCTGTCGAGATACTAAACACACACACATCACCTGCTTCCGACAACGTGCCAGTTTGGAGAAACACTTGTTACAATACAAACAATGTTCAAGCTTCTCTATGCTCAGCCAAGAAACTCACAGGTCATGGACAGTGGAAGAGTTACTGTAATTCAAGTCTACTAACACAAACGTAGACTCAACAGACCTGTGAAGAGGAAAGATTATTTACTTAATAAGATATTGATTCGACCCTATCCAAGTATCAATGTACAACCGACAACGTGCAGTAAAAACCAGGACTGTGCACCATCTGTTCAGTATCTGCCATCCACGTAAACTATGGCAAAACAAGTATCTATATCCAATAACACTATACCAAAATGGTGGTAAAAATGTCTCTACACACCCGACTAAGCAGACAACTGTTCTTAAAGTTCAACAGAGCATAAGATTATTCTTTTTCTATTAAGGCTGACTGAATCAAAGGATGTTTACCATGCATTATGGTACATTATTAGCTCAGTGGATGAGTCCACAACTTAATTCTATAAGCAAAAGGGCCATGATTAAAATGGGGAATACTTACTGTGACAGGTTTTCTTCACATTTTGCACTCAAAACCATTGAAAACGGTTTTTCCCTGACCTTTTTAGGGACACTAGTGGGGTCTGTGAGATTTGGAAGTGGGGCCAACTGGGTAACATAGAGCAAATTTTGCCAACTGGGGACTGTGGAAAAAGGGAACTTTGTGTTTGACTTGAAACACTTCTGGGATGCTTTGCAGACGTTTTACACATTTCTTTTTTTGGGGGGACTTTTGTGGATGTTTGGGACGAGTCAGTGTGGGCACGACTGTGAATAAAAGTGATATGTTAGACAAATATCCATGACCAAAGCAGGCAGCACAAACGCTAGCTAGCTACTGCAAACACAGATTAGTCGATAACATTAAAAAAAAATCAATATTTTAAATATTACTTAACAATAAGACGTGAGGATAAGACACTCTAATAATCTAAGGGTGTTTGGGAGCTAAAATAAGCTTTTTTACGAGTGTCATTTAGGTAGAAAGACGACGACTCAAGGACATTTTTTAAGTGCGTAGAGCTACTTGGCAGTACGTTTTACACCAACTGAACGAATATATAAGAGCGAATTATAAGATAATTTAATAGTTAACACTAATCGAAAAACATTAACCAAGCTGCTTTGACAATCTCAGTTACCGCTAAATGTAATTCGACGAGACAGCGACAGGAAATGTCAAATGGGAGTAGCAAATTAGCAGGAACAAAAACCATTAGCTTAGCCTCTCTATCGCTTGCCAACGGCTTTCGGTTAGCCAACGAGCTAATGTTGCTAAGTTAGCTTGAAAAGATTAGGCCCAACCGTTAGAACGAAAAAAAAAAAAAAAAAAAAGACAATAGTTTGGATTGTTTGCGCCAGCGGCATTACAGTATTTTATCACACCCACACAAATAACTGAATTAACGTAAATTAGTTAACTGTAATTTAAAAAAAAAAAAAAAAAAAAAGAAAAATAAAACTGGGCAAGTTAATTAACCGATGCTTTATAACCGTTGAATTTGCTAGAATGGCGGTGAACGTATGATTGATCAGCGGGTCTTTTTCAGTTGGTCTGGAGTCGACCGACCGTTGATTGTGATAACGTTAATAACATTAAGGGAACAACGTTATATCCCAGGTGCTATTTGGCCTCCCAGTTGGCGTTGTCGTGTCAACATGGCGTTCTTTACCTCTGTACTCGTTTTCCAGAAAAGGCGAGTTTAATCCCTCTGACAGAAAAAGAAAAAGAAACCCCGGGCTTTTTGTGTAAAAGCACAGGACAAATAAATAATTTCATTTAAATATGACTGTAGAATTACTCGACCTTTCGTCAGTCAGGAGACTGTTGTGTTCGTGGTTGGTAGTTGGGGAGTTTGGATGGACAGTCATGCTTTCCACAGCCATTTCCTCTAGCTACATTGAGGTGCAAAAAAATTACAACTCGACACTGGAATCTACTGGCTTATGCGTCACTTCACTAGGATCTACTTGTTTTTGATTTTAGGAAGAGTTTCTGTTCATAGTAGGCAATTCTCCACTACAGTTGTAAGAGAAATATGATGAAAAGTGAGTCCTGACGTTCTCCGTCCTACTGTAGCGATGTGAAATGACGACTGGTGAACTTAAAATGGCCGACTGTCTTCTCCTAGGAGAAAGGGGGCGGGTTTCTCCGAGAGTGACGTCACGATGAATAACGTTCTTGTGCGCGTCTCACGGAAATTACCGAATGGGAACTTCCCATGAGTAATCTAAACCCCCGAGTTTGACTCGCAGGTGCACACGCAGACCACAGAGATTAGGGAGTATTTAAATATTTACAGTTTGATCTGGCATGATTTTTTATTTAAAATACAACCGACTCATGTTACCCGCTCCAGATGAGATTGCCAAATAGTGTTATGTCGTTAAGTGTGTGGTCTTTTATGCAAACATAGATCCAACAGGAGAGGGTTAAACACAAATATCTTCTGGATGCTCCCAGAGGCCCCACAGTGGTGTTTGATATCGGGCCATAATGCAGTCTTATTATTATCTAAGCTTTCATTTACACATAGTAAACCTGGGACTTTAGGGCCATTACATATTATCACTATCAGGACAGTTTGTCACATTGTTATAAGCATTATATTATTAATTAATTCTAATTCATTATATAACTATTCTCACTTTGCTTCTGCACTTAAGATAAGATATTCCTTTATTGATCCTCTGTAGGAGAAAACAGCAGCACAGGGAACTGTTGGGCAAAAAGTACAATAAAGAATCACAGAATAAGAATATTATAAAATATAATAGAAAATATAAGACTATAATTAAAAATATAGCACAATATCTTGAGCAGCAAATAAACTGTACATGTGAAATTTAAAGACAACAGTTTGACTTCAGTGAAAAGTCTTAAATATTGTAGTTACAGTAATGGTTTCATGGCTTGCCGGGGGATGTATTGGAAGATTTACAAGTGAAGCAGATGTGTGAGAGGAGCTGAGACAATATAAAACACACACACATGTATCCTGGAGGCCGCGGCAGTCTCCTGCACTCTCACTAAATGTGCTGCCCAGTCAGGACTCAAGGGAACCCTAGGGGCTAATTTATTATTCATTCATTAATTAATCCACTGCTCATTTAGCAGTCAGTGCTAGATGAATCATGTGGAGGCCCATTCCAGAGTCCGGGCTGTGAATCAGGCTGTGAAATGAGTAATTTCGGATCAGACTGTACTGAGGGAATAATTCACCCAAACTCAGCCTGACGAACAAAAGCTTCACATTGTGTTAAAGTTACATTTCATAAATACATAAATAAATACAAGCGACACATCAACCGGGAACATCGAAGAGATGAAATAAATTAATTTAATTAAAATAAGCAGTTTAAACAAATATAACTTAAAAACGAACACGAGAACAAATTAATGTATTCTATAAAATCCGGGAGAAAGTTGTTGAATAAATACATCGATAAACCCCAAAAAGAAAGTATCCATATATCGATTATATATTAAAACAAATTAAAAATTAAAAAATTAAAAAAAAAACCGTATCTATTGTTTCGTTCCGTTACGTCATCATCCAGCGCCCATTCAGCGGGACCGTCGCGGCGTTTGAAACGTCCACATCTGCAGCGGCTTTAAAACACAGTTTGCGGCGCAGTACCCGAGTCCGGACGGAACCGAGATGATCGATATGATCGAGAAGGAGGACCCGGTCATCAGCGAGGAGGAGGCGGCGCAGTACGACCGACAGATCCGGTTGTGGGGGCTCGATGCCCAGAAGAGGTCGGTTAGCTCTGTTAGCTCGTCGGGCTAATCGGGGCAGCGGGAGGTTTCAGTTGTCGCACTCTTGCTGCGCAGGTGTTTGATTTATCAGGTTTAATCGATTTGTAAACAGCTGGGGGGGTTATTGGGTATTGATTGAGAGGATCGATGCTTTTATAGCTCATGGATGTAAAAACCGGCCGAAAGCATCGAGTGCAGAGGAAGTTACAGTCGAGTTCACAGACAAAATACTTTCTTTAACACACATGTTATATGTTTATTAAGTGAACAAATACACAAAGCCTCAAATCAGAGTTCAATCAAAAGATGGTTTAATCTTAAACTCTGATCCTTTTGTTGTTAAGTCGTTTAAGTTTGGATTACCTGTGAGTTGTCTTAGTGCAAGGTTGTTGTGTTTTTAATGAGACCTGCAGTTCAAATAAAGGTTAATCAGCTGATTGGTCACTTAAACACAATCCATACAACACCAAGATCACTTTCTATAGTGGTTGTAATCACTTAAGTGATCCTTTTCTGCGTTTTGTCTTCAACAGGTTGCGAGGGTCCCGCGTGCTCCTGGTGGGTTTAGGGGGTCTCGGGGCCGAAGTGGCCAAGAACTTAATCCTGGCTGGAGTTAAAGGACTCACTTTACTGGATCATGAACAGGTACACGTCAAAATAAAATGTTTTTCCTGTCCTCATCAGAGCACGCTGTTGCCGACAGAGTGACCCTATAAACTAAACATCTGGGTGATTCATAGCCCGAAAGTATGTTGGATCAGTAGATGGCCTTATGTGGTGAACTTCAGTCCGTCAGTAATATGTGTGTCCACTAGATGGAGCCTGTGACAAAGTAATAGTAAATGTTTTTCACTAAAAAGGAAGCAATATTTTGATAACATTTCAGTAACATATTAATTCTGGCTTCATGTCAGATTTTGAAGTGTAATTTTATTCTATAACGTGCACGTGTTTGTTCTGTGTAACTACATAAATATATTCTTTTAAAGGTGTCCACTGGATACACTAAATCACTCGGTCTGCATGTTGAGTGTGAGAGCACAATCCTCACCCTGCTGTCCATTTGTTTGCCCACCAGGCGTCGGAGGAGTCCTGTCGAGCTCAGTTCCTGGTTCCGGTGACGGCTCGGGGTCAGAATCGAGCCCGGGCCTCTCTGGAGCGAGCGCAGAACCTCAACCCGATGGTGGAGGTCCACGCCGACTCGGACAGAGTCGAAGACAAACCAGATGACTTCTTTCTGCAATTTGACGCAGTGAGTGGAAATGGGAGTTAATTCAACACAGCTGTATTCAAGCTAAAAACAAATAAAAGGGACATTTGAGGTGGAAGCTGATTAATTTGACTTAAACTTAACTTTTCTTGGAATCAGATGTTACAGGAAAGATACAGTCTGAACACTTAAAGCATGAGAGAGATGTTTATTAGTTACCTCTTCGCATTCCTGGGTTTATTCTGTTGTTTGTTTTTCTATTTGGTGTTGATAGACCACATTATGTAACTCGGAGGTCCGGTCCAGATACAGACCGACTGTGACTGTTTGTACAGTAGCATCGTTTCCTCTCTGATACTTCAAACTCATGTGAGCGTCCAGCCTTGTATCACTCAGTCTGACCACTAGATGTCACTTGTGGTCCATATTGTTCAGGTCCTGTGACTGAAACACCTGCTTTAAGTTGAAGTGGGGATGCAGTGAGTGGAGTAGAAACTTCAATGTCCCCGAGGGGCAGTTTGATTTACAGACAGCAGTCCGACACAAATACATACAAACACACACACAGATCCATATTGAGACCACCACGAGAGAGACACAGTGTCATTTGGGGTTGTAGTTTGTATTAAAAAGCAATGGGAACAGAGGACAATCTGTATTTATTTGTGCTAACTTTAGGAGATTAAACCTCCTCCTTGACAGAAACATCTGGAACTCAACATGTAAAGGATATTGAGGGTTATAGTATTTGCCTTTTGAGGAGATCCTCATTTAATACAGGTACTGAAGGTCATTAAAGTTAGCGCCAGTAATCTTACAGCACAGCTTGAGAACTGCAACTTTCAACTGGTTTATGATATAATTATCCCGTTAATTATATAACGAGGACAAGGCCTGAGTTTGCCTTATATGGTCATGCAGGGTTTACAGCAGTGCTCAGTGGGTGGAGAATGGGACTAATTGTACACTCGTCGGTTAGAAAAAGAGGTTTGGTTTGGTTGCAAAGCTTTGCATTCAGGTGATACTGTGTTTAAAAGTCAGACCTGGATTCAAATCATAAACAAATGTGGGCAGCTTAATGAAAGTAGTTTAACTAAATGTCATTTGTGATGGTTCATTTGAGTAAATACAAAGAGAATATAGTCGGACGTTGACATAGTTTGTGAGGGATTGTGTAGATTCTACAGTTCCTGCACTGTTGACCCATTGTGGATGTAAATATCCTTAAACACGGTTAAAGCCACCTTTAAGGATGTCATTATTTTATTTAAAATCCAGTGTGCTAGAGTCAGAAGATAAAAGGTTTTATTGCATCATAACTCAAACTCTGGTTTAAAGACCTTCGTGGACTTTCTGATTCTGACTCAGGTCTGATAGCAAATTAGTAAAATTATTATTTCTATACATATCTGACAGTGTGTGAACCCAGGATGAAGGTTTTGATGTATTTGAACACCATCAGAAGAATAACTTATCCCCCCCTATTGTGTCTGAATTGTCAGCAGTCTTCCTCCCTCTGGGGGTGCTAAGTGAAGGTCAGGAGGAGGGAGAGTACTATGGGAGGAAGATAGAAGTAGGACAGAGTGAAGTGTGGATGGGATTAGATGGATGTTAGTAGGACAGAGGAAGGGTGGATGAGAGGGTTGGAGAAGAGAAGGCGGGACAATTTAAAAAAGCTTCAGATAAAATAGAAAATGGGGAAAACAGAGGGGGGTCTCTTCCTCTCTCCGCTGTAGACCACTCGTCGCTTTCATCTGCTTCCACGGATGTATCTGTGCGTGGCTCAGCGGGGAAGATGGAGGGTGATTAAAGTGGAGCTGTTGGAGTGTGGTCACAGTTTTCATGTGAAAGGCCTAATTACTGAGGGAAGAGTACAATAGAAAAACACACACTGTCCATCTGGGTGCTTCCAGAGTACAGCGGACTCGCTACTGATACTCAGTCACTCTCTTTGTGTGCTTACACTCCGATTTCTTTCATTTTTACTGCAGTTTCATTTTAGTACCTCGCAAGAAGGAACAGAAATCACATAAATATCACGATTTTCTTTATTTTTTACGCATTCAAAGCACCTGAAAACGTTTTTTTTTTTTTAAATCCTCCATTAAATTAAATATTTGTGTTTAAGCAATAATTTAAATAACAGTTAAAAAAATTATTCTTATCAGGATTCACAACACAGACACATCATTAGATTCAGTTATTTATCAAATTTATTTATTTGTGAAATTGTGGTTGGTGAGGGTTTTTAGGGGATTTTTTTTCTTACCCAAATCAAACGGTCTAAAGAGGCACACTCTACAGACTGTAAAGCCCCCTGAGGTAAAATCTGGTTTGTGATGAATACAATTTGACTTTGACGGGTGGATGGAAATACCCGACATCACCTTCTTCCGCTGGTTAATGAGTAAAACTCAAATACAAAGATGTCTCATGTGAAATTAGCAGTATTGTTTATGAATTCATATTAAGATTAAGAAAATTAAAAACATTCTTTTTAAAAGGAGATTCCAGTTTTCCTCCCATCCCTTCTTTGTTTTTCTGACGCTCTAATCACATACTTGCTCTACGTCAAATAAGGCTCAGAAATAATGTTTAGGAAGGAAAAAGATTGAGGTTAATGGCTGAACTTTGTGTGAGAGCTGAAATGAGGATGTTTTACTTGTCAGATAGAATTGGTTTCAGCCTCTATATATGATCCAGATGTCGAGGGTCCTACGCTGCAGTATGTAAACTGTTTACTGTCTGCTTGCTGCTGTGTGGGAGTCAGCGATGCCGGAGATGCAGCATCAGTCTTATCAGTGAGCTGAGGGTGTTTTGGGTGTGCTGGACTGGGTCAGCAGGATAAGGTGGACCCAGCCCACCGGTCAGTGGTTTACAGAAAGACATCGGCCCTCCCTGATGTTACCATGGTACATTGCGTTACTACAGTAGGTGTGCCTCGGATCAGTTTGGCAGCTGACCAGCCACAGTTGCTTTTTTGTTTTTGTTTCCAAGAATTGAGAAGGCTGAAAGTTACTGATGAATTTGTTGTTTTGTTTTTTTAAGGGAACTGCTGCCAGTTTAATACTGCGAGTAAAATATGTCTGTCTGTCCCTGAGGGATTTAATGCAAGACAACAATATCATTTGATGTTTTCTGTTATACTGTCTCGTGTTATATTAATGACATGGAAATGAGCGAATAACAAAACAAAATGGCTCAGGTGGTTATAGGAGGAGAAGGTGTCTAACAGACTAACACAGTGGGAGTTTTATACATTTACATTTTCACAGATAAAAGATGGAGGAAATATATAAATCTTACAGTAAATATGTAAACAGGAAGGGATACATCTCTACACATACTGTGTAGCTGTAAAATAATAATAAAAAAAGCAGCTATGACTCGTTAAAGTGAAAGTTATTTTTCTCTGAGCCAGATACGGTGTTTTAAAACTGCTCTGAACAACATGCTGAATGAGTGCTGAGGAAGAAGGTTGTTTTCTTGAACTTTTATGCCACAGACTCCAGATTCAGATCCTTGAAGTAGCCGTTTATAAAGACTATAAGTGAATGTATTTGTAAAATGATCGATTTATGTAGTAGGTCGGTGTATCTACAGTGTAAAGAGTCAGTTACTGTTGCTCATAAGTTCTTTGGCATTACAGGTGATATTGTAAATTAGCGCTGACCAGCCTCCCATGAATTGTGTTATTTTTTTCCCCTCAGGTGTGTCTGACAGGCTGCTCCAGAGACCTGATGGTGCGGGTCGACCAGCTCTGCTCTCAGCGCAACATCAAGGTCTTCTGTGGGGATGTCTACGGTTACTACGGTTACATGTTCTGCAACCTCGGACAGGAGCACAACTACGTCGAGTAAGTGTGGGCAGCAACTCAAAAGTGTGTTTTTTAGCTTGAATTTTCCTTTTCCATACTTACTTTCTTCACATGTGGGAGCTGCTGTGGGTTAAGTGCCTTTCTTGAGTAGAGCCGGGCGATATTGGCATAAATATAATGATATTTTACCACATGTTAGTCCCATTGGATGGGATTAACGGTACAGGTGGAGGTGGAGAGTAAAGTATTCACTGTGTTTGTTTCAGACAACGTTTTTTTAACCATGAAATTACAGGATGTGGTCTGTGGACAGAGTATCAGTACCTTCCTGCAGCTAACATTAAACTACACATTTGATTCATTTTCTTCTGTTAAGTGATGTTATTATTAAATGGGTTGGGGTTGAAAAATTATCCACATAACAAACTCTGGACATAATTAAAATGAATGAGGAGCTCATGTTCTATATCAATGATCACACAACCTCCTCGGAGAAATGAATCCAGTTTGAATGGGACTTTGGATAACTAATATTATTTTGCCTATGCATATTAACAGTTGTTATAACAGTCATATAAGTGCAGTAAATTATATCACTTTACTTTAACTGAGCCCTAAAGTCAAGAATACTAAAAGACTTTCTTTAAGCAGCATTGTACAATAATTAAATCCAAGAAAGTATCGTGTCCCTGTATCAGATCGTGTCAATATATCTACAGTTCTACAAGTATTGCATATTTTTACTCTGGGCACACCCAACAGTATACAGTAACTAAAAGATATGATTTTGATAAATGCATATGTTTGAATTGATACGCCTTAAGTGGTGTTAAAACGTTTATTTTAATTCTTGAATTTCTGTGTAACAGTTTGACGTGTGAAATCAATTATTATTTATTACTTTTTCTAACATTTCTACTCTTTGCTGTAACTTTTCTACTCTGTTTTTCTAGCCAGTCCACTGCAGCTAAAAGGAATGAAACAGGTGCTTTGTGTGTAATATACATACACAATACTCTAAAACCTTTTTATGAACTTGATATCTTTTCAGGGAGAAACCTAAACTGGTGAAACCGACTGGAAACTCTAACGATGGTCCGGAGGCAAAGAAAGCCAAAGTCGACCCCAACGAGACCACCATGGTGAAAAAGGTAGGTGGATGAAGACCATATTTAATACCTAACAACAGATATAAAGATCCCTCATACATATATAATGTAAAGATGTTTTCTCGAGCCAAGTGGAAGGAACATGAACAGTATGGGTGGTGAACAAAGTGACTTCCTTTTGGTTAGACGTTAACTAAAAATATTAAGATAGGAGAAGTGTAACATACAGAGCGCTGGGGTTCCTTAAGAGAAGTGGAACATATATTTTACACACACACACACACACACACACACACACACACACACACACACACACACACACACACACACCTGTAAATGTGGGAAGATGGTGGAGTGGTGGGCAGTTAGCGACCCTCCGGTTCCCTACAGACTGAGCTGAGAAAGAATTTATGATCACAAATACATTTGAATATACTTAAAATCCATACAAATCCAAATAAATGACTTTCCCTAATCAAATGACCACCAGACAATCCTTTGACAGACCTCCTGCTGACATTTGTTTTTCATCTCCAACCAAACAGACGTCCAGTTTCTGCACTCTGAAGGAGGCTCTGGAGGTTGACTGGACGAGTGAAAAGGCCAAAGCCGGCCTGAAGCGAACACCAGTGGACTACTTTCTGCTTCACGGTACTTAAAGTGTTATTTTATAGAGTAAAACTATAAAGGTTTAAGTGGCAACAGGTTTTAAATGTGAAAATGAGCTTTTCCTCTGTGATTTATGATGCTTTGAGCTCTGGTAACTGCTGATAGGCACTGTTTTATTATTTGCAGTTAAGTGAATATAGTTCATACAGACCAGATTAATCAGTAGTTGCAACACTTGAAAGTTCATTTTTTAGGGTTTTAAAATGTTTTGAAATTAAAGTTTGTCAATTCTCTGCCAAACTTTAATTTGCTTGTTGTTTTCTAGAGGTGAAATTATCTTTGAATTTGACCAAAAATATGACTATTTTCTGCTATAAAATGCTATAAAAGTTTTCTCAAGAATTTTTGTCTTTTTAGACTTTATACAGATTTTGTAAGGGATTTATATTTGATGTGAAACTGCATTCAGGTTTTATGAGAGTGATATTGTCTATATGACACAACTGTCAAATAAATGAGTGGTAGAGTACGCGAGATGTCTACTGACATTTCTGTGTAGGAGGGCAAGATAAACAGAATTTCCATACAGAGAATTGATCAAATATAGCAAAGAATCCTGAAAGCTAAAAAAAAAAGTTTAGAAATGTGAAACTGAAAAATGCGTAGGTACCCTGCAGCGAGACTGAAACACGTACCATGAACATGCAAAATGACTGGTTCTAATATCACTGAACAGGCACGAAAAAACACGTCTGTAAAGTTTGTTAAATGTCTTGAGCGAAGGACAAAGTGATGGATGCCAGGAGATGCTGGCGAGGTTGTAAAATTAAATTAAATATATCGTTACACTCGGTTGCATCTGGATAATCGCGTGTGACCAGATGTTTAGGAACCAGTGACCTAAAGGAACTTTTTTGACCCTTTTAAGTAAATCTACACCTTCCTGTTTTTCATGTTATTTACAGCGCCTGATGACCTTCCCTTTTAAAAAAGTTGTTATTCTGTCACCTGCACCATCCACACACCACATGCTAGTTTCCATCACAGGCTGTCCATGGCCAGTCATGTGCACTGAGCGTAGAATAGAGAACACCCCGACACCTACTCAACATCACAACAAGCATATAAGATCAGGAAATAACCAGAAAATGGCTGCACACTTGTAAATTACGTTAAATGTAGTAAATAAAGAAAATTAAATTACACTTAAGCAGGACGCAAAGGTCATAAATATCATATTTAGATCATATAGAATTTAATTATTATACAAAAAGTACATCTTAATAGAAATGACACTTATTTATTACAACATGTTATAACTTACAAAGATTGTTCAATATTTAAAAAGTTGTTTTCTAATGGGAGTTAGAATAAAAACACTACTATAGATAAATAATCCTTTAAGCAATGACCTGGTATTCAGGCAGCATAAATACAAAAGCAGATATGAAGAGTAATTGGAAAGTCATAACATCTATTGGGCATTTCAGGTTTTTTTGCAGGCTTTAACTCGAATACACAACAATATATTTAATATATAAAGGCAGAGGAAATAAGATGATATATTGGCTTAATGTGCTTTTACTGTAAGAAAACATCAGCTATAGAAACTCATATATTATAATATTATAGTATTGTGTTGATTGTGACACTCACAAGACCACACAAATACATAAAACAGTGTATTCATCAAAAACGCTGCTTTCGTGTGTAAAAAATCTTTAATTATACCTGTAAGTCTTTCACAAAAATGCACATCTGTATAATCATTAACTAAAGCCGACAATAGCCAACATTTTGTTCATCGACATTCATCATCACTGAGTTCGATTTTAGATTCTTTTCATGGTGGAAAAATCTCAGGATGTGACAACGACTGGTTCATAGACGACATCCATCTGAAACAAAACAGTATTACAGATGTTCCCCAGCCAGAGGGAGTCATGTGACAGTGGGTGTCTAGTAAATCTGTTTACTTCTCAGTCGATCATCATTTGCAAGTGTATTTTAATTCTGGGCATCTTCTTACAGGGTTAATTTTGTGCCATCGTGGGCCTCGTCTAATAACCCTCCACTCCGAAACCCACCTACCCACTCTCGCCTCGCACTGTCTGCTGTGTTTCAGGCTAATTTCTGAGTGGAAAAACTGCCTAGCTGTTGTTTTTTTTTTAAATTTTGTGAACGTGAGACAGGACGCAGTGTTATTATTCCTTCGCTGTTTCTATAATTGGAGCTAGCGGTTGTTGTTTTGGCCGACTGATGAGGAAGTGGCTCTTCCTCTGTTACAACTGCTTCCTGTCTGACTAGGAACAGTCGAGTGATCTGAACCGCGGATGTGTGTGTGTGTCTTTGTGTGTGTGTCTTTGTGTGTGTGTGTGTGTGTGTGTGTGTGTGTGTGTGTGTGTGTATATTATTATTATTATTATTATTATTATTAGTATCTGTAATCTATCTAATTCCTCTTTTTTTATTATTATTATTATTGTATTGGCAGCCTGACAAGACGAGTTGACCAGTAAGAGAAAAGATGACGTAACATCTAATATTTCACACATTTGGACAAACAGAAAACATTTCCTGTTTGTTACAGTATTTAAAGTAATACATCTCTGCCCAGTGAACAAACACTCACTCACTGTACAGATGTTGCCTTTAATATATGGAAAAAACATATTGTTTGTTGTATTCGACGTGCAGGTTTTGACGTAAAGGCCATCTCAAATATTTCCCTTCCACTTTAATCCGTGAAGGCTATTGCGTGTCACTACATGTGTAGGTTTAGAGATACTATCATTGTTCCATCCATGTGCACATTATTATATTCTGTTATGAAATTCTGTTTTGATTTCCTCTTTCTGCCGCAGTGTGATGCCTTTTGTGCCAGTCCTTTAACTTTCTACTAACAAAAAGTTTCACTGATAAAGGGCAGAGCTGAGGTGTAAAAATGATTCATCACCACTACACTCGCATGTGTGTGTTTGGTGTGCCACGCTGGTGGAAATGGCCGTGGGAGGATTTTGACTTCCTCGTGGTTTAGGTTAATGGACGAACAGGAAGTATGGGGGCGAGGTGTTGATGTGTGTCTGTGTGGTGCAGAAGTCGGTTGCTGTTCAGAATTTTGCTCATGACCAAATAAAGTGAATGTTTTAGATTTAAAAAAAAAAAAAAAAAATCCGACCTAGAGCCGCCCATTGACACAGGAAAGAGTTTTTTTTTTTCTTTTCACCCTAATATTTCCTTACCGATGTGCAGGTGTATGCAAGCGCCTTTTGCGTGCACAAGTCTGTACGTGCAGGCTCTCAATTTGATGTGGGGAAGGCGTAGGCCAAATCGGATGAAATGGTTGATGGTGCAACCACATACTGATTTATATCCTGTTTCAAAAGGGAGCAGCAGTCAAGATGAGATGTTGTCTTTCCATGAGATGATAATTCGATGTGGAAGTCATTTGAAAGCGTGATGAAATTATAAATGGCAATACTTCAATAGATTATATGGAAAATATTGCTTTAGAAAAATGGTTCAAGCTTGTTTCCAGCTCCTCAACGGTCGTACATTTCCTTCTGTTTATTTTTCTCTCCCGCTTCCTGCTCTCACTCCCTCTTTCTTTTCTGTCTTCCAGTTCTGTTGAAGTTTCGTACAGACAAAGGCCGTGACCCTGACCCACAATCCTTTGCTGAAGACAGCCAGCTGCTGAGACAGATCCGTGATGACGTGCTCGAGGCCTTGGCAGTGAGCGGTGACCTCCTGAGTGATGACTTCACCAGGTAATAAAGTGTCTTCACCTGTCTTCATTTTAAATGGAGGCTCATTTGCAATTCAAGTGAACTATTGCACAGAAAGTTTCTCTTGAAAGCAAAACACTGAAGCTCAAAGATGATCCAGCAACACTTACCCTCCCACACACACATCCACCCCATGATGCCAATTTCCAGTGCTGAAGTTGAGATTCCATTTAAATATAGGTTAAAAAAATCAATTTAACAAGATTAAGTGCAGTTTTTTTAAGTAAACTACGACATCTTTTCACCTGCAAATCACCACAACAACACTTAACAGGCCTTTACTGTTATCGGCCAACCTGACACACCAGAACCATCACAACCATCTGGGACGTTGTTGTTGAAAACTGTTTGGAAAATGACAAACACTTTCAAAAAAATACTTTGCAGGTGATTGGATGAGCCATCTGTCTATTAAAGGTCCAGTGTGTAACATTTAGGAGGATCTATTGGCAGAAATATAATATAATATTCATATGTATGTTTTCATTAGTGTATAAGTGTCTCCTGAATATAGGAATCGTTGTGTTTTTGTTAGTTTAGAATGAGCCGTTATTATCTTCAGACGCCGTACGTCGCCTTCTTGGAGTCCGCCATGTTGAACTGCTACAGTAGTTCAATTTTATTTGTATAGCACCAATTCATAACAGAAGTTATCTCAGGACACTTTTGAAATAGAGCAGGTGTAGACCGAACTCCTTATAACATTTACAGAGACCAAACAGTACCACCATGGCGACGGGGGCAAGGAAAAACTGCTTAATTACTACACTTTCAGCTGCACACTGTGGAGGCCGAAGAGAGGAAGTTTTGGGCAAAAATAACATTACCAAAGTCTGTGGCCTAACCAATGTTACACAGTCTACCTTCATCTGCTGGAGGGGGCGATTGCAGACTGTGATTTACTCAAACATCCGTCCACTGTCAGTGAAAAGGTGTTTAGTTCAACTGTGTCGGCGGCATCGTCAGACAGCATAACACATAAATCAGCTGGCACGCTAAAAGAGCTCCAGATGGAGACTCGGTCAGAGTGGTAACGTGTTTCCTTGTGCTGTTTGTCCTCAGCTACTGCTTCTCTGAGATGTCTCCAGTGTGCGCTGTCGTGGGAGGAGTTCTGGGACAGGAAGTTGTCAAGGTAAGGACGAAAACATTAGGAAACACTCTGTTCATGTTATCGACCGTGATGCATCTTACAATACTCACTCTGCTGTAGTAAATGATGAAGTGTGGCGTGTGTGTGTGTGAGAGAGTCAGTCAGCTGACAGGTGGCCACTCAGCTGGTTTCTGGGTCAGCTTCAGAAAAACGGCAGCGACTCTTCTGTGTGCAGAAGTGATTTCACTGTGACCACAGTGAAACCCAGTGTGACGCTCTGGCAGCAGACTCTCAGAAATATATATGATTTAAACTGTCCTCCAGCTGAACAACATAATAAACACATTGATAATGCAACACAAAGGAACATAATGGGACCACTGGTAGGAAATCTAATGGAAAACATATGACTGAACACTGGTGACACATACAGTATTCCCATAGATTATAGATGGAGTCTCACTGAGATGGGATTGTTATTATCTATATTATTAGAGTTGAGACAAAGCTGTGTAGTGTGGAAGAATGTTTTACAGTTGAGAAATAATAAGTATGAATAAATATATAGATGTATAAATAAATATATGAACATGGGCAGTAAAAACACATCACAAGGTCACTAATGATAATAATAATATGTATATATCTTTATATGTTCGACACACAGACAGCTCAGTGTCGTGTTTATCTCCTCGGGCGAATCAGTACAGTTTTTTTTTTTAATGCCAAAACTGTCTAAGGAAAGATAAATCTTATCAAAGTGATGAAAATCCAGTCACTGATGTACAGATCAATCATCCATTCCTTGGATTCTACGTGGTTTCACTATAAATGTTTGCATTGACAAGCTCTTCAGTAACAAATAATGCGTCTTATTTTACCACAAAATGTGTCTGTTTGAATTTGGTGACTTTGTTTTTGTTTGAATTCTTAAAAAATGACTTTATTATTATTATTATATTAAATTAAATATAATTATTTGAAGAATCCTTAAATTAGGTTTTTAAAAGCCAGCTTGATGTGTAAGTTCATTAATTTCCTCTGATGGGACGGAGTAAGATAAGATAAGATGCTCCTTTATTGATCCCCGTCGGGGAAATTCTTTTATAGTCATTAAGATTCATCCCACAGATAAAAACACTATAATTATTTAATGCACAAAGTCTAACACGCAAATATAGAGAACTTTTCTAAGTGCATGACCTGAATAAGCTTTCACTTACAGCCTCAGTAGATTTCCTTTTTCTTCTGAGTTGTGTGCAAGATAACCTCTGGCTGAGGTAAACGGGAGTTCAGGTCAGGGTAAGAGTGTGTCTGTGTGTGTCTGTGTGTGTCTGTGTGTGTCTGTGTGTGTCTGTGTGTGTCTGTGTGTGTCTGTGTGTGTCTGTGTGGGGGTGCGTGCGTGTCTGTGTGTGTCTGTGTGTGTCTGTGTGTGTCTGTGTGTGTCTGTGTAGGGAGGGACAGTTCAGACTCAGACGGCATTATATTGGCACAAGGCCAAGCTGCAGACTCTATGATGATGATGATGAAACTCGCTGTAACTGGCCGACTGATGTCTCGCCGGGTGAATCTGACTGACTTCACTCACACAGAGAAAATTAAACTCACCTTATGGACTGAACCACCGACAACTGAAGTGTGACAGACATGTTTGTCTGGGTCTGTGTGCTCTTAATAAAATGGAAAACTGGCATTAAAATGGTTCTTTGTGCTCAGACTGGGAAGTACATTGATCTTTCTTGGAGTCACCTTTAAGAATTTCCCCTTTCTGACTGCTTACTTGAACATATATGAACTTAAAGAGGTTTAACTTTTGTATTATTACAGGGTGTTGAGTGTAACTTCCCTGTGTCTTTTCCTTCAGGCTCTCTCCCAAAGAGACCCTCCACACCGGAACTTTTTCTTCTTTGACGGTCGCAAAGGCAACGGCGTCGTCGACTTCTTTGGGCCAAAGTAAACCCGTCACGCCGGCTCGGGAAAGTTTTACACACGCATACAAGCCCAGCAAACTTATGTCTTTTCATTTGTTTGTTCCGTCAGATTATTTATATCAGTAAATTGTTCCAGTAGTCATAAAATGTGTCTGTTGTTTCATATTTGGCATTTGATCTCAAGTTCACTGTGGGATTTCTGTTTTTTACATTTCCTAATAAAACATTGTTTAGTAAAAAGGATTCTGCCTCATTTCTCTGGATTTATTAAACAGAACAATCATGTTGTGTTTTTTTGTTTGTATATCCAATATCTGCCATTTATGCCATAATTATTACGCTGCATTCATGTGCTGCTGGGAACATTTTAATGCATCAGTGTGCTGTTTTCTCTGACAAATCAACCCTGAAAGACAAATATAAGTCAAAATCATCATAGTAAAATACTTAAATACAGTAAAGAAGTTGACACCACAGATCGTTGTGTCTTCATGGTGGATCACAAGGATATCAGCCATGATGTACGGTGGCTTGATTTCAATATAGAAAGTAAATTTAAGAGCAATGCTGGAAATATTTTAATTTAAGTAATAAAGTCAAACATAATCGCAGCTGTAATATAAGAAATCAGTGTGGTGTACTGTATGTCAGTATCTGAAAGGGGAAGACCGCAGATAGACATGTGATGTTCAGTGTATGACTGTATTTGGTAACAACCTCTCACTGCCTGGCATGTGACTCATCAAACCTAACATGGCTGTATGGTGTTTGTGTGTGTGACGGTGCAGCAGCGTAGGAAAGGGCGGGGCAGGTTATTCAAATGAGGCTCAGGACAAACTCAAAGCGTTTCCTATCTTCCTCCCAAATAAGGCAACAACCAAACATAACGGGGGGAAAACCAGCAGTGTGGCCTTGTCTCTGACCTCAGCCCCTGGAAGAAGCATGTGGTTGAACCTGTTTAACCCGCCAGACCTTTAAGACCTGAGCTACAGAGATGGAAAATAAATCACATTTATTTTGATAAAGTTTAACCTCTGACTGCAGCAACAGCAGATACTCAGTGAAGGTGCTGATTCATCCTGCTGTTTACTTTAAAATACACTGAATGTTCACAGCTGAAAGTTAGAATAGTTTCAGTATCATATATCAAATCTTACCCCAATTTTAATCACTAAGTATCTTGGGCTTCATGTTGATAAGAACAATGTGGTTTTAATAGCTTTTTTTCTGAAGAACATTTTATTTTTTACATAAGTTGACAACAGTAGGCAACATAACAGGACAGGAATGTACAAGAGGGGGGAGTATTACAGGTTGTTGCAGCTCCTTATTCAGATACACTTTAATTTATGTTGTGAGCTTCGATTCATAAATTGTTTCCACATTTCTAGCGTTGAAGCTTTTGGTAAACACAGAGTTACTTCATCAATATGTCCAACAGGAAGTTTATATGGTGGCATCCATTGATTAAAGAGTTCTTTGAGAACACACAGAACACAATTTGGGCTTGAAATCCTCCTTTTGTATCTTAAAATATTTGTGATTTGGACTCTTAGATGAGTTACAGATTCTCCCAGTCGACTGATTCCTCTCTGACTCCCAGGTCTCATAAGTTCAGTAGAGTTTGCTGTGTGAAGCCAAGAGTACATATACACAGATCAGCCAGAACATTAAGACCTCCTGGACCGGGAACATCCCAAAAGAGCTGCAGTTTTGGAGATGCTCTGACCCAGTCGTCCATCACAATGTGGCCCCTTGTCAAAGTTACTCAAATCCAAATTTTTCCTGCTTCTAACACATCAACTTTGAGGACAACATGTTCACTTGCTGCCTGATATATCCCCCCCACTGACAGGTGCCATGATAACCAGATAATCAGTGTTATTCACCTGTCAGTCCTCACAATGTTATGGCTGATCGATGTCTGACATAAATCCTCTAAAGGGAGATTTCAGTTGTTACAAATGTCAAGAATTATGTAAGAAGATAAAGGCATCGGGACTCAAATGTGCATATTTGACTTCAACTTTTAGTAACAAGAAGATCAACACTGACGCTACAGTGAGGAAAACAAACCAGAAAACTTTTATTTATCTTATGACTGCAGAACACAAATATATTGCGCCACATAAAAAAACAACAACTCTGTGCATTAGGTTGCATGAACCAGTCTACCAAATGATAGATATACGAAACTACATGTGAAAGTAATAAGAAGTATTCTTTTAAGTGTGTTTACTGCAGAGCAACAAAACAAGTGGAGCCTGAAATGAAACCAGAGGAGCGATTAGGCAGCGCAGGGTGCCACTGCTCTTTTCCTGGGATTAAGAAAGAAGATTAATTATGGGCCGTCCCTTTAAGCTCATTCTGCCCCTTTAATTAAACCTGAACTCTTATCTGCCAACACACACATTCACTGCACTCTTTATTACATGCTGACTCTACTTTATTTCTTTCTCTCATCCCCCTTTTTTCTCTTTCCTCTCGCATTTTGTTCTCTTTATTTCATGTCCTCTCTTGTTCTCTGAGATTCTGTCAGTCCTCTCCACCCCTCCAGACACACACACAGAGTTAAATCCCAGCCCCTGCTGCGTGGTCACTCTCCCCGTTTCGCCTCCACTTAGCAGCAAAGACCAAGTGCCTGTTGTTGCGACCAATCAGATCCATGATTTTGCTCTGAGGGCTCCATGATTGGCTCATTCTGCAGAGGAGTTAAAGTGAGGATATCTAGTCCCAATGCTGCCTGTTGACTCAGTAACAGACAAGTGTGTGTGTGTGTGTGTGTGTGTGTGTGTGTGTGTGTGTGTGTGTGTGTGTGTGTGTGTGTGTGTGTGTGCTCACCAGGAGGTCCTTCCTCTTCCTTGTAAACTGGTGAATTCTTGACTTTGTTTATTATGTAGAGATTAGCAGGGCAGCAGCTAACAGTCATTTTCAATATGAATCAATCTGCTCAAATTACTTTCTTGATTAACTGATTAATCATTTTCAATCAGAGTGCCTGTTATTAGTAATAAAAATATATTTTCACGATGTGACTTCCTCAAAAAGCTTGTTGTTGTCAGGCTGGTTATGTTGGCGAGGAAGAGCAGCAGAACAGACATTTATTTATTTATTTATTAATATGAAAACAACAGATATTATTACTTAGAAGTCGGTAAAATTGTACGAGAATGAGTCAAAGATTAATACCAATGGGATGAGGATCAAAGACACACAAAACTATGTCATTCTTAACTTCCAAACACTCATTCTTTCTAATTGACAGTCATGAGCTACATGCCCAAAATACAGAATCAACCAGACAATCAAGTTAAAGTGACGGTGAACTGGATTCATTATAATGACGCTGTAGCCTCATACAAGGGGTTATTCAAGGCCTCTTTAAAAGCATCAAAACATGTTTCTGGAGTATTTTGATGCAGGTCTTGTACCAGATTGTAATGTTGACCATCGTTGTAAACACTTGTGGTGTTTCTGTGTGTGTGTGTGTGTGTGTGTGTGTGTGTGTGTGTGTGAGAGAGAGAGAGAGAGCAGCGAGGGTCTTGACCTTGAGTCTGCTAATCCGTGGTGCTCTCCAGATGTGATGGAGACCACAGCGTCCATGTGTGTCCATTGGCCTGAGGGCTGCTGCCCCGCCCCCAGAGCCACCAACATCTGTAAACATCTGCCACGCAACATTCTTGTGGCAGACCAGACCCAACCTTAGACCCGGGTTGCCCTATGAGCTAAATAAAGAGCGGTACCTCGGAGGTGGAATGAGATACCAAACGGGATTTTTGTCTCACCTAATATATATATTCCTAAACACACACATGTTGCTTCATGCACCTGCAGCTGCTTATAATGGTGGAGGAAGCATTAAGATCTATTATATTATATTAGTACCACACTGTGAATAGACGCATGGTAGGTATAATGTGGAAACTGTAGATGCATCGTTAGAAATGAAACAACCCAACAACTGAATATAGTTCTCCTTATTTTTATTGTATAAAAAAGAAAAAAGTACAAAATTCATGTAGAAAGTTTACAATAGAAAAAAGTTGAAAAACAGCAAATACACACTGCATGTGATGACACTGAAACTGAAACGTCATTGTATTGAGGGAGGCGAGCCCTGAACCGGGGAAGTGCACTCTTACAAAAACAACAACAACCAGGAAGCGAGCAACTGCACGTGCTCAGAGCGCCACTCCGCCTGCAGGTTGAAAGCTTTTGAAAGTAGTGAACTTTATTCAAACCAATATACAAGCAGTAAACGAGTGTCTACCCTGCTAGCGTAGTTATCATTAGGACTTTATACATCAAGGCTGTCAAAAATGTTAGAAATGTATGAATGTATGAATTTATGAGGCATTTTAACGCTGACGGGTCAATAAGGGCCAAAATTTCAGAAAAAAACTGAATTCAAAGTACGTGACTACATAAATGTATATTTTTAGGATGTGTAGCACCACATGTAGCACTAGCGCTGTCCAAAATCACACAGAAACACCGTTTCATACATTTCCACTGTTTGTTTTCAGTTCAGTCAGTTTGAGCTGTTTAACAAAAACTTTGAGTATTGCTAACAGTCTGAGATGCCTGATTTTGTCTTTTTTTTTTTGTGCTTTAATATTATATTTAGAGTATAAAGGGAGAGCTTTGGTACTTTGGTACTAAAGCTAATACATCTCTTTCAGTTTCTGGAGTGGTATTCAGTAATATACTCACATCTCAGTTCCCATTTGTGCTTCATGGGTCAAACACAAAGCTAACAAAAGACACAGCGGTCTGGTTTTAAATTTGGAATATCAGTTAAGTTGTTTATAATAAAACAACTGCTCTAAAACGTACCGTTTAAAATAAGTTTTTTAATGTGAGCGATGGACAAGAGATGTATCCACTTTCAGCTTTATCTCCCTTCTTACTCAATCTCTGTTACAGTTACAACTAAAGTACAACTTAATTCATTGTTTTGATCAAAGAATGTAAGAAAACAAATAAATAATACATTACGTAAAAAAAAAAAAACAAGCTACAGAAAGGCTACATTTCAAAATAAATTATGCTCTAAATATGAGCAAATCAACATTTTCTCCCAAACTACAATGAAAATAATCGAAGGGGTTCATTTTACAAACAGCATCAAATACTTTTCAGTCAGATCCAAATCATATATTTTTCTTTAACTCAAATCCACTGGATTTAAATTCAAAACTTCGCTGAGAAATACAAAAAGATTCTCCCAAACACAGTGAACTCTCGCTTTGATAAGTACTTTTTAAAGTCCATCAAATTTTCATATTAGTTAGATTCATCTCCCAAAAGAATATTTACAAACGATCAAGTAACTATAAACACTGTCGACACGGGCGTGAGAGACCCCGCCAGCTCCCAACACTGGCTGCACGAACGCCGCGGAGGGGACGCACAGCGGCAAAATGTGTGTATGCTCGATGGGGATTAAACTATTTCTGTCCTTAAATGACCTTAAGCCACGCTGAAGCTGCATCCTTTGAATGTGACTTGAGTTTAGTGACAAAAGAGTGTGTGTGTGTGTGTATTTGTTTGAATGTGTGCGTGTAGCTGATTGTCCTGATGTTAAAGATTAGGCGTCAACAGAGCGCTGAGTAAAAGAAAGGCACGTTTGTATGACGAAGCAGTTTCAGATTGGGAGAGAGGTTCACTCAGTGCTTTTGCTCCATAGTTGGAATAACACCCGACTTTTCCCTGCGATGCAAACACAGCGTCCAGTTTCACAGTTTCTAAGATTAGTGGGGGGGGCAAAATAAAGACGCAACAATAACACGCACACATCAGACGAGGGTCAAATCGTGTCTGTTATCGTATGTAATTATTTTTTAACTCAGATGGTGTCAGAAAGGAGAAGATATGATGATGAAAATTGTATGTAATCAAAGGGAAGAGAAGAAAAACACGTCTCATATCATCTGTGGTACTGAAAGCCCAACATCACATTATACGCAACCTATCCCATTTGACCCAGATCTGCCATGTGCGCACACACACACACACACACACACACACACACTGACTCACACACACTTGAGTCACGCCTGCTACATAAAGAGCTGCCCCCCCCCGACAAAGACAGAGAAAAGCGAGGGGATTTTACAGAATATACAGGTAGGAAAGTGACCGTCAGTCCGTCAGCTGCAGTCTGAACCAGCAGACTGACCGACGGACAGGCAGGCAGACAGACAGGCAGGGCCCGGTTTCCACAGGTAGCACCCTGATCCAGCCCACAGGCGGCACCGACACCTCCAGCTGCTGATCTCATCCTCCCAAAACTCTTTGTTCAAGAACATGTTTTGATTTCAGGCCGCGTTAATCCTCCAGGTTTCAAAAAAACGGACGACAGTGTTCACGACGGTCCGTGGCCGAGTCCTGAATGAGAAGTCGCCGCGGTAACCGATAGCCGCAGGTGAGACGGCGTTCTACGTGAGCCTGTAGAGAGTGCTAAGGGTCTGGGTGATGAAGTTGAGGAGTCCTCGGCAGGCGTCTCTCAAGTCCTGCCAGTGGGGGGCGGCGTGCTGCGAGGGAAAGAAAAGAGAGAGACGTCAGTCTAAAAAGAATAAAGACACGTTGGATTATTGGTGCGTGTCTGACCTTTTTAGATGAGCAAAGATGCTAAAAAATGCGCATTTATTGACAAATTGCCCTACAAACAGCTCAAACTGAATTAATTTACCAACTTCATGCTAGTTAATGTTATTTGTGTCTGTGGAGCAGCAGCTGGGAAAGACAGTTAAATATAAATAGTTAAAAGGTGCTGAAACACACTTAGATATCCACAAAGATGTTGGAAACTTGGAGTCTGACTTGATGAAAACTTAATGAATAAATAAAAAGAGAGAGGGCTCGACGGGCAAAAGCTTGAAAATACATGATGTCATATTTGGGGTGTAAAGGCGAACGGGAAAAGGACGTAGCTGAGAGAAAGAGAGACTACATGTCTGCACTCTGTACAGCTCGAACAAGAGGATAAACAAGTGTGTGTCTGTGTTCAGGATGCTACTCTGAACTGCCCGAACCTCACGTGCCTGTGGTTAACCCCCCCCCCCCTCCCTCCCTCTCTATCTCCTTCCTTTATAATCGCCATCCCTCCTTCCTTTTGTTTCAAACTGCACGTTTAGAAAAAGTGTCTGACTGGGCTTTTAGCTCGTCTGGGTTATAAACACACACATCACTTCCCCTCCAGGATAAAGTATCTGTTTTTCTCGTGCACGCAGCCGACCGACCGACCAGGAGTTCAGTGAGGGCAGCAACCTGCTACACACGGAGATGTTACACCCTCATAAAGTGTGTGTGTGTGTGTGTGTGTGTGTGTGTGTGCAATCCACGTCTGAGTCAGAGCCAAGAGAAGGTGACGTCATCTTTGTTTATGTGCATAAGGCGGGATGGCGAGAGAGAGAGAGAGAGAGAGAGAGAGAAGTGGTCTGTGTATGATGGGGGAGGAGGAGGAAGGGAGGGGGGAGCTGCTGCCAACTCCTCACGCGATCTAGTGCAGGGAGGGAGGGAGGGAGGGAGGGAGGGAGGGGCGAGCGAGATAAAGAAATAACAATAAAGTGAGAGACAGCAGAGGAGGAAAATGCTGTCATCTAATCTGTGTGTGTTTTAAAACCAACAGGATCACATCAGTGGTTGTTTTAATGTATGTTTAAGAGTCTTTTTTAGTTGGCCTCAAGGTAGAAACAGTTTTTATATTATAATGTCTGAAAAACTATTGTGCTAATAAGGGTGGAGCAAGAGTGAGGAGGAAGCAAACTGTAAAAGAAAGAGGGAGATCAAAGTGAGCGTGGAATGGAAAGGAAGGAATAGAGACTGTGAGTAATACAGTGTCTAAAAATACTCAAATTTTTCCAGTTTTTGAGAGTGAAAGAGAAAAAAGGGGCAGAGACAGGAAGAAGGAACTCTTTAGTGTGTATAAAGATCAACAATAACAAAAGAGAAACCATAAAAAGAAAGTGACATGAGGGGGGGATAAAGGGGATAAAGGAAGGAAGAGAGAATCTGGCTCACAGCACACACACACGACATTGATTCATTCACACACACACACACACACACACACACACACACACTATTGATCTGTCTTCACACACACACACGTGTAATTACACATACATGCAAACTCACATGCTCATCCATGCAAGAAGACACCGGACTGATGAGAATCAATGTGACTGTATTCAAGGACACAGAAAACACTGTACACACACATCCTCAACTGGAGAGAGAGAAAACACCTAAAGCGACTTAATAAACACCTGTACGCTCAGAAGTTTCTATTTATTCTATTATTTATTATTATGTTTTACCCACAGTCAGCATTGAAAAGTATCCTTCTGTTTCCACTGATGTCTTTTAAATCTAATTTTACACACGAGGAAGCAGAGACAACATAACAGCTATTGTTGTGACAGCTTTTTTGTGCGAATGGAAACAAATTTAGCCTCACGCATAGCGGAAAAAACACATTACAAGTGCAACAGAGCTAAATATAGTCGACACAGCTCTGAAGGAGTCTGATTTACTTTATTTAATTAATGTAGATATCTGCTGAAGGGGTCTCATTTAAGGTTGACTCCTTTCTATTTCAACACCTAAACATTTCAGACTGATTGACACTTTAAATTGCAGCCCCGTTCCTCCGCTTACCGCTCTGCGGAGAACTGTGGCGTTAAATTCATCTCCAATGGTCCTCAGCTGGTCGGCCACTCTGCTGACCTCCAGCCGCTCTACCGCCTCCTCCCTGGGGGCTCTGTGGTGCGGGGAAGCCCAGGATGGGTGCTCGTTCTGGGGCAGCAGGTCAGGCAGAGGTCCCTGCCAGCTGCAGGCCTCCTGGCGCTCCTCTCTGTTCGAGTCTGCAGCAGAAAAAGCAAAATAAATTCAGAAAATAAGATACTAACAAGTTATGTATTTCCCCGTTTTTACTCATTTAATTTGTACCATTATTCTTCCTCATCCCTGACTCTCTGTCTGCCTTTCTCCAGAAAAATATGTCCATGTATGAAGAGACAGAAGCGCTTTATTGGATACGCAGGGCCTCTGGTTATGCTTAATTGATTCTCAACAAGCAGCGTACATTAATAGCCTCCTTACACATTAATGTAGACGGTTCAAGTCGGGGGGGATCTGTACACACATAGTAACACAGGGGGCAAGCTACACAGGCCGAGCAACAGAGAGCCATTTAGTGAGCAAACACACCCACAAACACACGCAATAACATCAGAAATCTTCAGTCGCCCCCTTTCAGGCCATCAAGTTCAACATCTACGTGACTTTACAGGTAACGTGGAGTAATATAAAGAGATAGATGAACATAAAAGTACAAATATTTTTGCTTTCACATGCATTTTTTTGATTGCAAAGTGGAAAAAATGAAAAGTTTAAAGGAAGGAAGGGACGTTAATGTACATTTAATCTTCCATTTTGACCTCTGACATTAAAAATAGGCCTTAAAACAGTTACTATGGTTACCAGTGGGGTTGTTTAGTTCTCGAACTCACAAACATACACACACACACACACACACACACACACACACACACACACACACACATATATTTCTTAAGGAGCCTGATGGACTGACTTATTTTCCTCTTCATGGAACTTGGGAGAATAATCTCTTAATCTGCTTAATAAGTCTGGTATGGAAGAGGTACTATGTGAGTGTGTGTGTGTGTGTGTGTGTGTGTGTGTGTGTGTGTGTAAGTGTGTGTGTGTAAGTGTGTGTTTACAGACTTTGTGTTTGTTTTTTCAAACAGACAAATACCTGAAACGTCTGTCTGGTCGCTTTAGGGCGACAAACAGTCCTCAAACTACTGAATGTAAACATAAAGAAGAGTTTTTTGTTAAAGCTGACGGAAAAGCAGGTTAAAGCAGTTCTTTCAGATTTTAATGAATTATTTCTGACTGTTTCAGAAAAAGTATTTATAATTTTTTATGTTTTCTCACTTTATTTATTCAGTTTAATTTTGTTTCTTCAATCTGAAATCTGTTAAACCCTATTTTATAATATTATAAGCATCATATATGAAATATGAATTTAATTAATTATATATATATATATTTAGTCTCAGCTTTAAACACCAGCTCTCTTTAAGATGAGTAGAGACAACCTGTTTTAACCTTTCTATGACACACCTCTGGGATTTTGGCTGATTATTTTTACTTTGCCCACAGCTTTTTCTTTAAAACGACCCCCCCCCCCATCCCCCAGGTCTCAGGCACATAGCGGAGCGCCCGCGGCAACCACAACTCTAGTTACCACAGAAACGGGCACCCCTGGCAACCACAGCATCTGCTTTGCTAGGAAGATTATGACTGATCCTTTAAAGATGCAGGTGACTAGACAGACACAGAGAGAGAGAGAGAGAGAGAGACAGAGGGAAAAAAGAGAGAGAGAGAGACAGAGGGAAAAAAGAGAGAGCGGTAGAAAAAACAAAACAAATGGAAAACCCTGGCTTGTTGCCAAGGTAACTCTAAGGCAGCACTCCTGGAGACGTCTCCACGCGATTGGCCGAAAGAGCGCGGGGCTGAGCGGTGATAGGGTGGGCGGAGGGGACGGGGGGGCAGGGCCGGGGATAAACCTGTCTGTGTAATAGGCTGACAGCCAGACAAGGTGATAGAGAGATCCCCTGACCAGTTACATGTGAGAGGCAGGAGAGTGGTTGGGTTGCCGGGTAATGATGGTATTTGGTAGTGGGGGGGGGGCATTAAAAATCAAAACAGACCAGATATACTAACAGGGGAGGGTAGAGAGCTTTGTGGTGAGCTGATTACTCCCTAATTTTACTAACCCGAGACAATACACTGACTAAACAAACAACTGAAAAATAAACTTCAACCCGACATTACAACCAACTAACTAAATAACCCTCGAACAACCCGACCTGCTGGTTACTGACTGACTGTTACACTGATAATCCACATTTACTTTAATCGGTGACTGATAACTGAATCACTGACTCACTGGCTAATTACAGTCTTTGATTTGATTTATTAGGAGACTCGTGGACTTATCCAAAGTGTCTGACTAGTTGATTAACTAGCAGCTGACTGAATAATTAACTGACTCCCTCATTAATGTATGCACAGTTAAAGCCTGAGATAAAAGCAGAGATAACGTGACTGAGCCACTCAGAGGAGGAGGAAGTGCTGCACATTGTTTCTCTGCTGCAGCCAGAGCTCAGAGGACAAGTCTGAACATGCCCACGATGCACAGCTGACCTACAGCTGAGGAGAGGAGGAGGAGGAGGAGGAGGAGGAGGGGAGGACGGGGTGGGGAACATGTCTGTTTATTGTTACAAATCTGTCACAACACAGTGCCAGATGTAAACCTGCCTTTCCTGCCACTTGAATTTCCCTTTCTACGGGCCTTTACGTGTCTCCCTCTTCACTCAACCCAAAGCTCTCCTGTTTTAAGTCCTGATGAACAGTTTATTTAATGTGACAGTGACAGGGACACTTTAATGTCTCTTTCTGAGCCACAAAAAGCAGCTGCAAGTAAAAACAAAGCAGGGTTTGTTGTTTAATGTTCTGTCCTCGCACCCATTATAGAGCAGAAGACAGACCTCATCGTGCATCGTCTGGTGAACAAAACCGGTTTGAGCAGTTTTACTGTCCGAGTCCCCGTGTGGAGCTTCCTGATACGGCGCCACAGTCGCCTGCTGGTTACAAGGCTGCAGCAGAGGTACATGTTTGTTCTTGTGACAGCTGTAACACATCTCCTCATACTGCCCCCCCTCCATCAACAGTCTCCTGTAATGGAAATACAGCCCCCGGGTGACCTGCTAACTGATAACTGTGATATTTATTTAAGGGTGGAGGTCTGAAAGGCAAACTGAGCTCTTGTGGCTGAGTCACATCTGACATCTTGTCCACCGTTTCGTCAGAACCTGCATCCACTGCTGCTCGTGTTATATCTACAGCCTGTTCCTGCAGGGGGGGAACCTGCCAGCGTCGGCCATAAATCATAACATCTGGCTCTGTTGGTGCTCGTTCTGGCAGGTTAAATGATTGCCTGATGTGCTCGGATAAAGATCTTGGTGTGACATTACCCACCCCACCCCCCCCTTCCCTGTCTGTCAAAACAAAGGGAGAACTAACCCACATGGTTTACATGACAACATGCCACAACTCACTTGCTGTTACTAGAAATAAACGATTTGTATCCACTGCTACACTTTTTCCTACCCTTCATCCTGCCTGTATAAAAAGTGATCTTACCTGACTGCTCTCCTCCAACTCTCTCTTCCCTCCGATTGCAAAGCAGCGAGGGAGGAGGCGTCGGGGATGGCGATAACGCAGGTAACTGCTGGTGAGTCAGGGGCTCGTCCCGGCCCCCCGTGTGAGCGTAAGGCAGCGGGTACGACCGACAGATCGCCTGCAAAGGGTGCAGACGGTGGTGGAGGTGCAGGGCCCCGGTGCCACCCCCAGAGCCGGTCGTGATGGTGGTAGTGGTGAGCAGACCGGGCCAGGTGTGGAAGGGCTGAGGCAGCTCCATGCGGCAGGTGTTGTGGTGAGGAAGAGGGCTGTTTCCTCCTCCTCCTCCTCCTCCTCCTCCTCCTCCAGTCTCCCCGGCGCTCTCGATGGTCTCCGCACGGGCCATCTCAGCAGTAGCCTGGATCACGTAGAGAAAACAGACATATGTAAATACATAAAGTACTACAAAATAAAAGAGTGGTTAAATAAAACAATTATATTAAATTAAATTATTAAACAACTATTGAAAAACAAATATTTTATAATATAAAGTTTTAATTTTAGCCCCATTGTTTCCTCCTGTCTCTGTTCTCACTGACCCTCCAACCTATATTAGATATATTAGATATATTATATTATATATTATACATTATATAGATATATAATATTATATATATATATACTATTATATATTATATATTATTATATATCTCTGACCACTGGGGGGCAGCAGTGGCCGGCCCCCCTTCGTGAGCACGAGACTGCTGTTTGTAAACAAATCCGTGCCGCCCGAGCACGAGGAAGCGCACACGCGAACACACACGCGCCCCGTACGTTATAAAATCTTCAGGTTTAATCGATAAAATCAATCAATTTATCAAACTTTAACGACTGTTTTTTTTTAGAGATAAACCGCCGCGACACACATCTCCGTCTCCGGTGCTGCTAATATTTAAATATTATTGTTAAATATCGATAATTTAAACTCAATTTGTGTGAATGTTTCGCTTTATAAGGACGTTGCTAACTTTTTCTGCACCATTCAAGTCGGGACTGAGATAAACATCATAAAAATGGTCGATAAAAGGTCGAATATCAATAAAAAAAAGAGGTAAAACTAAAGTGTAATAACGTTACTGTACGTTATTTTAAGAAGCAATGAATGTGTGCGTGCTTTTCCCCGACAGCTGGACAGATGATGCAACGCTGTGCTGTCACATCCACAACTAACTTCTGCAGCAATTACATTTAATTACATTTAATTTAATTTAAAATAATAATTAAATTTAAAAAAAAAAAGGCACTTACTTGGTCTATGTGACGATCCGTGATGAGGCTGTCTGCGGGTCAGAAAGCGGCGGTAACAGGTGGACATCAGAGGGGATGAAATGGGCCGACACAAGCGGGGGATGCGACCCGGCGATCACAAGACGATTAAAATAAAAAGTCCACTCTTTGTGTCATTTCGTTTCAGGTTTCCCGCGGTTGGATTGTCTCCGTGAATATTTCTTTAACCCATCAAAACAAGAATAACCGACGGGGATGAGGTGAGTAACGGAGCTGCTGTCTGTGCTGCTGTCTGTGCTGGTGTCTGTCCGGGCTTTTAGGGTCTGAGCGGGTTTCCTCCTCTTTAAACACCCTCTTTGTCAATGTAGAAGAAGTGCAGCGGACATCCGGTGGGAGTTTTCAAAATAAAACCCCACCACAACCTGAAGCTTTTATTGGAGGAAATAAAAGTTTTTGTGTTTGTTCTTGTTAAGATGTTTAGATTTTAAAATGCATGTTGGCCTAAAACATGATTAAATTGATATAGTAAGATCACAAAGGCTTTAAAATAACATATTTATAGATATGTATGAATTAAACTACTAACTAAAATACTTGAATTAACAAATTATTTGACACATAACAATAAAAAAATATTAAAAATAGGTTTAGATATGTACGATGATTTAGTGAATCAGTGTGAACTATGGGCAAATTAAAGGAAACAAAATGTATATTACCATTGCATCATGTAAGCCAGAAATGTAAAAATGTTCACATTATTAGTTTTTCATAGATTATATGTACTTGTATATGTTTTGGTGTTTTTGTAAATACATTGTAAAAGCAAATTAAAAATATACACACCATAAAAATGTTCAAAGCCAGACTACAAAATTCATAAACTACACATTTGGGCTTCCTTTATGTGCGTATTGTATAAGTTATCCAGTCACCAGATACTCATTTATAATTTTTTACCATGAACCAATCTCAGTGTGTTTTTAATACCAAATATAATTCTCCATTAGAACTTCTTTCTGTACTAATTCAACTCCACTTCCAATGCTTTTATTTTGACGGCTGTATCACAGTGCTGTCCGGTTCCTCCTCCTCCTCCTCCTCCTCCTCCTCCTCAACAAGTGCTGACATGCTCCCCGACAGGATGCTGCTGTTTGTCTCTCTTTCACTCTCTATTTCTTTAACATTTGTTTAATTCCTCTCTTGTTTTTATTTGTATCAAACCTGAGACTTTCCTGCAGCATCATTAAAAACAATTAAATCTTAATTAACTCTGTTAAATAATTATAGTGTCTATATATAACTGTCTCTGTCAGCTCAGTCCAGCAAAAAAAAGTCTAACAGTGAATTCTCTTCACATCCTGCATTCACCCTCTTTAACTTTCTTATCTCAAATCTCAGGACAAAAGACATTTCCTCATCATGTGATGACTCCACACAAGAATCAACAACCCCCCCCCCACCTACACACACACACACACACACACACACACACACACACACTCCTTTCCTTCACTCCCCCCATCTGGCCTTCCCCCAATTTCCTTCTCAGCTTGACACATCTGCAGCAGCTGTAAACTAACACAATGTGATGCTGTGTGGAGCTGAGTCAGCCCTTTGTGTGTAAAGCAGCTCAGTTTGTTGTAACACATTCAAGCGCAGTGGCCACAACCGTTTGTACCTATAATCACTTCGGACACTTGTGATTTGAGTTTTCGTACACGAGATTGATGCAAAAGAAAGATTAAACCTCTGATGGTTCGCCGGTCATCCATGTCAACAGCTCTCGTGTGACATCGAGGTGTAAACAACCGCCGCAGAAGCCTCTTGCATAAGTGGCACAATGTCTTCTGGTGTACAGTTTCAGTCCAGTGGATTATTTATTTAGTCTTGAGGGACAGTCGTTGCATTATATTTTTATTAAACGACTACAACTGTGGTTCCCAGTCTCGTGCAAACAGTTTTTACTCTTTAACTAGAGCACATGTTCTGTATTTTACACGGACTGCAGCTAATATGTGTAAAAAGAAGGTCTGTTTTTATCAAGATAATGTCATATTCTGAGATTAATCAGCAGTGAGTAGTTTGTTAAAGAGATCAGACACATCACATATACGTCGTTAAGGTGTACATAAAAGATCCTGCATCTGAAGAACCGTAGACTCTTGATCCAGTCCAGTGAATATGTTTGTTGTAGCTGCACAGATTTTGTGCTGCTATGTGACTGTTTTCCAGCAGATTGTCTTGAATTATTAATTAGTAGAAAACAATTTTAATGAGAACGCTTTGTTGTCATCAAATTTACAATTAACATTGAACAGTCTTTGTCCCTGTTTGTACATTTGTTCAGTAAAAAAAATATTTTATTTTTACAGATATTGATGAGGGACATATGACTCCATCTGCCCTTAAAATAAAATGTTTATGCCAAATTGTTTCGTTGCTATTATGTGAGGATTTTGTGTGTCATCTTGTCCGAATATCAGCAATGCAGATTTGTTTCCGCATTCGGAAAGAGACCAAACATGTTTATCAGTTTCTATCTGAGGTGGCTACAAGAGTTTCTTTCAAATGCAAACTGACTCTCTGCATTTGAAGCTCCAGTAGAAATCCTTTTGATGACATTTGGGATAGATTTCCTAAATCCAAACATTAGAAACTATAATCCAGGATTAGTGAATGTTTTGTTAACACTGGAATCCATTTATGACAAATCGTTTAATCCAAATATGCAGGCAGCCATTAAACACGTGGACTGTTTGCACACTTATTGAAGAGTCCAGGCACATTTTAAGTTTTACACATTATTGTGTGACACTTTGTTCAGGCTGTACACTCATAATAGTGATTATTCACGAGAGAAACCTGCAGCAACAACAGCAGCCTAATTGTTGAAGCCTTTACACCCCATAATGTGAAAGCCCTGCATAACATTAGCATCCCAAATGACTCCAGACTCCCCCGCCGCCGTGACTCCTGACCCTCAGATCATTGTCTCCTGGGCTCACCCCTCAGCTGTGGGCTATGAGACAGTGGCGACTCAGCCGAGCTGCAGAGTCGGAGGCTGTTTAATCGGCTGGAAATGGCTGCCCCCCCCACCTCCTCCAGCAGCAGATTGGTGCACACCCCTTTGTTTGGGGAGGAGGGGGGGTGAGTCTCCTCTCAGGTACATGTCTGGGCGAACATCCTCTGCCCGCTTTGAGACAGACAAACAACAGACTTTATGACATGTGGCGAACAGTTATCTTGTAGAGATAATGAATGCAAGTGCTGTTGTTATATTGTTGCACTTTCTTTATTATGAATATTACGAATTACTGTTGTCACAAGATTATTAAGTCCATTAATGACTGGAAAATGAGATGAAACAATAAGATAAACAATCACTGGTACGTTCGACTATAAATGTATCGTCTGTGTCATGAATAGTTTCTTCTGTGGCACTTTGTTCCAGAGGTGGAAAAAATAAAAAGGGCACCAGTGAGCCAAGTGTGAACCTATGACCTGACATCACCCATTATATTACGCGTTATGGTCGTCGCCATAGACAGTTTGTCGGAGCCAGCGGAGGCGATGTACTGCAAGTTGAGCTGCTCTCATTGGCTGCGCAGTTTTGACCCATCAATAGCAGGAAACACACAATCTCGTATTACAGATAAGCAGTAAAATATGTTTCTGAAATGATTTTAAGTGAGAAATAGTCAACGCAGTAACACAATCTGGATCCGTATCTGATCGGCACTGTTTCACAGTTTGATCTGAGTTTGGTGCGTTGAGCTGGACGTACTCAGTGAGAATGAACTGTTAAACACAAGATAGCCCCGCCCTAAAGCATACCCTGCTTTAAGGTCTATGTTACTCTAAATGGGACTATCAGTTACTAAATGAACATCATGCTGTACCGAAGAAGACTTTAAACTGGCGACTGAGATAAAAACAATATTTACTGCGCTCATAAATCAAGTGAGAAGTTGGCTCATTTCCCCATTAGACTGCATGTTATCAGTCTCTTAATGCAGCCAACGGAGCCCAGAAGATCTGTGCATTAAATATACTGCAGATGCAGAAAGTTGTGATGCATTTCTGATGAAACATAACTCACATATCAAAACCTACATTAAAAAAATGAACCCACAGTTTTGCTTCTCTCCAATGGATTTCTCTAAAAATGGTAATAAGTGAACAAGAGATATAATCTTCTTTTTCTTGTTCTTCATCATCTCTCTGTCATTATTTTTCGCGTCTTCAAATCATTTTATTTGAGTACCAAAAGCCCAGTTTAATTATATTCAGCCTGCAGTTTGGATGCAGTGTCCAACTTTTACAATATTAATATTCTGAATGTGTCGAGGTTTCATTCACTGACATTAACTGTAACTAATTTATGCAGGTTGTGTTTTTATTCTGAAACTTTCTCCGTGGCTGTTCCTCATTCCACCAATGAAGATTTTATTTATATCAGGATCAAATTCTTCTTATTGTTTTATCTGACTGTGGTTTGATTCTGTCCTTGTTCATGTGGATTCCTGCAACAGGAGAACAAGTGCAGGCTAAAGGGTCAGTCACATCACACATCAGCAACACGGCAGCTCCCACAACACCTGCCGATGCCAATCCACGACTGATGCCACCCGTGTTGATGTCACCTGCCAGGTTTTTGGTTCCAAACTGTGTGTGTGTGTGTGTGTGTGTGTGTGTGTGTGTGTGTGTGTGTGTGTGTGTGTGTGTGTGTGTGAGGGGTTACACCACACACTGTAACACGAGTGCAGCTATGCAACTAGAGAGACATGACGGCACCTGATAAGGTGTACACACAGCTCTCTGGCCCTGTTTCTGTGTTCACCTGTATCTATCTCTCTCTCATACACACTCACACACACACACACACACACACACACACACACACACACACACACACACACACTCCATGCTCCCCTCTCTCTAACAGGTCATCTATACCTCTGCAGCTGTGTGATAAGCATGTAAATGAGATCTGCTGCCTTGTGTCTCATTGCTGCAGTAGAATCAGGTCGCTCCTTTCTCCTTCGCTCTGCCCTTCAGTCAAGTGCGAACCCCCCCTTCCCTCCATACCCCCCCACGAAAGGAAGGATAATAATAAACTGTAATACTGATGTACTTAATCATAGGTTTTGATTTGTATTGTATCAAAATGTTTGTCAGGCTGCCACGTGAGGAAGGAACCTTGGACTCTCGTAGATCAGGTTGAACGTTGAACAAACTGCTGCAACGTCGGCTCAGAGCCCAATAAAGGGAAGTGACAACAGCTTTACGGATCTATGGAGGATAAATCACTTTTCCATTATAACCGACTTA